CAGCATCCAAAAAAAGAAAATATAGAACATGCAGTAGCAGCATATAGCTTCAAAATATAAAAATAAAATATATGCAAAACTAGCATCCTAGTAATAGTAAGACGCCCCAGTACACTATTATTTTAACAACAGCATCTACATCAAATTTTAATGCTAGAAGCATACAAAATCAAACAGATAGCATACGTACTATAAAAAGATGCCACATTATACAAAATATGAGAGCAATTAAAAAATTGAGAACATATTTTGACCAATTATTCAAATTTAGCATCTTTTCATTGAAATATGCTATTTCCTAGTTATTTCACCACGGAAAGTATGAAAAAACTGTACATGAGAATTTGAAATTTTAGTTGAGAACCCATTTTGTTTATTTATTAGTTTACATATTTTGGTATTCTTTTATTTGTATATTTTTGAATTTTTTGCGATTATTTTCGCGATTTTCTAAATTAATTGGTGTACCTTTCTAAGAAATTATTCAAGTTTCGCATATTTGCGTCATATTTCTACTCTCAAAAATGGGCTGGTTTACAGTATTTATTATATACACTTAACGTCATCATTGGTAGTAAGGAAGATTTATCCGTAACTTCACAGCCAGCAGAAAGATGAACAATTCAAAATAATTTTCTAGATATTTTGATGCATTGGTATTCAATTAAGGGGAAGTAACTCGTAATTCAGAGGAACTGAATGAATTGGTAAGCAGCCACATTGCAAAGAATGAAAAAAACACATGAACAGTTTAAAACTACCGACAAAAGAGTTCGAAGAACTTCCCAAGAAGAAACTTCTAGGAAATGATGACACTTAAGAATCTAATTTACATTCATGGCAGTAGACAACAAAACCGACCGGACAGGCACTGAAGCTATTGCACTTAGTCTAAGGCAGTGTATTCGATATGAACATCTGCCTGTAAACAATTAAACAGTGCCAAGCAGTGTGACGACGAGGAAGTTACTTCTTGGATTACACGGTTAAAGTGTATACTAGATTAAGGAATCTGAAGACTGGCATCGTCAACTATACAAAGAGATGAATTCCATGCTAAACGCCTGCCTTGTTGTAGAAAACCTTTTTTTAAAAGGAAGCAAATGATATAAAAGCACACAAAGAAAGTGCAACATAAAAAAACTAAAGTATTATATATAGAAAAAGCAAATTAAGAGTTACTTGATGTTCTAGTATAGGTAGTCAATTGAATTATGGACAATATAGCGGAACTCTATCACAAAACAACAACCACCCAACTAGAGACAAGTAAACAGTCAACAGAGCAATCCAGTTGTTTGTGGGCAAGAACGTCATATACAGTTGGGTTCCGTTTTAGATGTGACGACTTACGACAAGCATTCGCAGAAAGGTCGAAAGAACACTTATTATCGACCATTCAAAAGAAAACTTTCGACAATGGAATAATGGATAACATATTGAAAATCTTATTTATTTGAAAATCTCAGGTAAGTGCTTGTTGAACTGTAATGGCTACCACCAAGACACCTGTAAAATCCAACAACATTAACAAAAATGTAATGCTAGTTGTACCTGATAGCTGATATAGCCAACACATAACCTTGATCGTAACTAACATTGTGAACAACATGTACTGGAATTTGCAATATATAGCCTTTACAATACCTTGTTTAATATATGAACTTTAAATGGTTAACAATTTAGAAATATGCAACAGAATAATTTACATCCTTCTGAATACAACTACTGGAGTAAGTGTTTACAATGACAAGGACGTACCGTACAAAAAAAAATGTATTGTCAAATAAACAACTTTTATTGAGAGTACATGGAAATTGGTACAGAACCAATGCTTATGATTTAAAACTTAAAGGATAATGGGATGCTTACATTCTAACAGTACAACCAGAACCATTATAATACCACCAAAGGCCATCATTTGGGAAGTCCAAACAGTCACAATTAAGGGACTTAACCATACTACTGAGGAAGATCTGAAACTGTTTAAAGAAGTGGATACTAGTATATACATCAAAGGGAATTCTCATAGTTGTTTTGTCTTTTCGCCTTCTCTCTTTTTTGACATGGCGTTGTCAGTTTCTCTAAACTTATTAGTTTTTAATGTCCCCTAGTTGTCTTTCCCCTTTGCTCATAGATTGAAATGAAGAATAAAACAACTAATATGGCAGTGTGCATATTCTGGAGACCATGATTTAGGACACATCAACAGTGTCAAACATTGGATAAATCTACTTGATGAGAGTCCTTTAAACAGAGTTATAGAACAATTCCACCTTCAGAAAAGAGAAAAGAATTTCAACTGGCCTATACCAACAATCCGGAAGACAAGGTACACGCTGATGCATCTGACAGGAGATGCTGTCCTCAGAATGTACAAGGCAAAATTCAATAGCAGACATTGTCTAAAAGTAATCAATGTGAAAGGTTCAACCGGACGCATTGTGATATATTCATTCGGACCTGACACTATGGCTTACTAAAAGATTCATGTCAGTTCGTTTGTATTCGCCTACAAATCAAACACGATAGCACAGGACATTCATTCTACATGATGATGTTTGAACGTAACCCTAGGTGGTTGACCGTTATGGAATATCTGTTTTACAGATGACGACGGATATGTTTCAAGTCGTAACCAAAATCCCATCCTCTTTTCCTGGAATGTGACCTACCAAATTAGACTTATTACCGAGTTTGTACTTACATTAGTAACACGACCGGTGTCATATGTGGAGCATGATTTGCCAACTCTTCCGGAGCCCCTGAAATAACCCCTGTTTTTTTTGTGGGGGTTTGTGTTTCTCAGTCTTTAGTTTTCTATGTTGTGTTTGTTATTCGTCGTTTTTTCGGTTTTGTTTGCTATGGTATTGTCAGCTTGTTTTCGACTTTGAATGTCCCTTTGATATCTTTTGCCTCTCTAATATGTTACCGATAAATTAAACGTTATACTAATGAGAAATGAACTGAAAACATATATCATAGTTTTGAAGGGACACGCGAATTGGCAATAGCATCTATAACGTAGACCAGAGCGCAATATATGACAATAGAATAAGAGAAAAGAGTGCACGTAGAAGATAGAGTGCTGGTGAAGATTGTTAGCTTTGAGGTGAAACATACGTTGTAAGAAAGATGGGAGCATGACCCCTATTCAGTTATTTGCTAACCCAATAGTCACGGTCAGGAAGGATAATGGACAGGCACGACCCGTAAAGTCCTGCTACAAACATAGTTTCGCAGAAAAACACCAGAACATTTTCCAAGGAAAACGAAACCAAGAATAGGATATAGACCTGCCAATATGACACAATAACTTAGATTTCAAGGAAGATTCATATCGGGATTAAAGGATCAGCCCGGGAACCAGTATTGTTGGTGATTCCCCTAATACTAAACAGATTTTGTTTCGTCTTCGACGAATGTTTCTTAATGCGGGAAATAGCCAGTAAAATCCATAACTTATTTATAAAAAACTTGACATTTTAAGGGGTAGGAGACCGGAATGTTTCATACCTTGCATACAGATGCACCAAGTTTTCGGCTGTCTTTTGACCAATGTCTTTGACCTTATTTTCATGGTTCATTTCAATTGGTCAATGTAATGCGTTTGGTGTTAAGTCCATTTCTCAGTTACAAAAAGCAGTAAAGTCAGCCATATTTGGTATATGAAATGACTGAATGATGTTCATGTCTTTCTGACAGGTTTGTCTTACCTTGACATTATATATCATCATATTCAAATTAAGGGTTGTGATATGTTATATATATTTTATTTCCTTGATACTTGCAACATAAATGTAATCATGATCAGTAAAGGAGGTGCGACATTTCAGCGTTTGCACTCTTGTTTCACCTTATCTTAATATTAAGAAGAAACCAGTGGAAATTTCGAGTATCACAGAGGTGTCGCATTGGTAGAGCAGAAAGGAAGCGATCTTCTAACGACTTTCCAGGAAAAATCATATGATGATATGATACGTATACAGACTCTGATGATCAATCATTTTAGCCACGCGGCTCTACCAGAGAATGGAGATCTCAACACAGATTCTGGTCTTGAAAATACGACATGTCCGCGCATAGTTTATTAGAAAGGAAGGTACAATGAATCACAAATATTTGTGTAGATTGTACTTTGATTGGTTTTAAATTGTTTGTTTGTTTATAAAATATTCACTGACAGGTTTCTATTGGATTAATTTACTGATATACAGAATAGAATAATATTTTAATAATGAGAGGTATGAAACTTGCTGTTTTATATTCATACTAAATTAAGGTGAGGACCTGAATTCTTGGATGGGAACACGTTTACTGTCTTTTCTTAGTATTGAGGACCAAGTGATGTATTTTTCCCTGTCAATCGATCATTCAAGTCACATGAATTACGTGGAGGGAAATCTCTTTAAAATCATTTATTTGATTGTGGTTAGCATCAAAACAAACATTTTGACATTAACAAAATCTAATAAGTTGCTCAATTTGTGGCTTTATACAGTCCCTTTTATATAACAATCCATACACAGCCAAACTCAATTAAGAAAATTGATAAAGGTTAAAGTTTATTGATTTTGTTTTTTCAAACGTACACGAAATTTGATGCTCGGAGGCAAAGCCGTTCGCACTAAATTTCATAGTATACACCTTCTATTATCTAACCGTCACTAATTTCCTGATTATGACTGTCAACTTCATATTACAGGTATATACAAAAATTAGTCATTAACAATGATCAATAAAAATGGGGTTGAAGTACGACGAACGTGTACACCTAACAAGATTTCTTCTTGCATATATAGTAGACTAATAACTTAAGAAATGAGAATATGTTGTAATCTAAACATAACTTTGATAAATGAATAATATAATGGAGGTCGAGATAAGGTAAGCTGTGTCAGTCAGACATGTACTGATATCGAATTGTCAATGAACCACACATATTAAAATATACCGAAAAAATCAATAAGTGTGACAAAAAAACCTATTTTTCAGATAGATATGTGCATCAATGGCAGTTGCATTATTGTCAAAAGATGTCGAAGTACATGCATCTGCTGTGATGGTGGTATTAGATACGTATCCACGCATGATGATAGCAGTAATCGACAACAACTGGCCTCCAAAGCAAGTACTTAAGTTGACACGAAATGATCAATCCTTTATGCAAAAAATAACACCATTACAGAGAAATATGATTTCGACACTAGACGTTACCGGATACAACAATCTCGACGTATCATGCATATACAACTTAATAAGACATTTCAAACTACTGCCCGTTCCAAATCAAGGATGGGGAAATAAACCGTTAAAAGGTGACACTAAAGAGGAAGATGATGTCGAAAGAATAAGAACATATCGCAACGATATTTTGCATCGACCTCGGTGTGGTTTGTCTGAACAAGACGGAAAACATTTTTTCCAAGAGAGTTGTGATATGGCAAAGTGTTTGGACATCGGTCTCGGTTCACCTATGAATGGTTTCGAAAGTCAAATCAAGGCTATACGATGCTTTAGTGTCGACAGGAAAAAATATATAGAAGCTCTTGAAAATTGTGCAGAATATCAAGGTAACCAAATATCACTTGTACATTTTTTTACAATCTAATTAAACTTTGTTGTTTCCATTTGCCCCTTTGTAGATTATAAATAGCTGCAATGTTATTATATACTTTTGCTCCAAAGAAGGGGTATGTGGGTATACTATTTTATGTCTGTCTGTCCTTTCGTTCGTTTGTGTATCTGTTAGTCCGTTTCTATGCCCTTATATAATGATCGAATATTCTCGAAAACATCAAATAAGCGCTTTCTATAATTTGGTTGAAAAGATTTTTCTTTTGAAGTCACATTACTGTAAATAAGATAAGGTGCTTTATAACACAAGATTTGAGCTTATCTGACGTCTCCCTTTGATTGCTGGATGTGCTTATTGCACAGAAAATTTTGCCAAAAGAGAAGAATGATAGACATTAATAATTTCCAAAAAAATCAGAATATTCAAGATATCTTACACATAGATTGAAAAATGTTTGCACTACGACATTCTCAATCTGTGGGATTTGAGAGGTAATGATTGTATTACCTTATGGTCTTTCTTAGAATGATCTTAAATATCAAGTGCGCTTTACAAAAATAAGCAATACATAGATTTCTTCATACCGGAAAATATTTTTGAATATTGCAATCGACAAATAATAAAAAAAAAAATGTTATTGCTATAAAGCTATGAACATTCACGGCCCTACATTATATCGATACCTGTGTTTTTTTATTAGCTTTTGTAGCTTTCAGTAACTACGAGTACTCTCAGATCTGTACTGTGTGTCTTAAGCGTTTGTGTTAGCTGTTTTTGTGCTATGTGTCGATCTGACGAGGATTAAGCCCTCTTCGAATTATTTTTATAAATTGGTCTCATTTTGTGCTGTAACACCACTGTCATAGGTTAGAAGGAGGGTTACGGGAGCCGGTAAACATGTTTAACCCCTCCACAATCTGTATGTGTTTTTCCGAAATCAGGAGCCTGTTATTCTGTGGTTTTCATTTGTTACTGTATATCATATTTGATTTTTGATAATACTTTTGTACATAAATCAAGCCGTTACTTTTCTTGCCTGAATTGTTTAACATTTATCATGTCATATCTGGAAAATTAAAAAGGATGCATAAAAGCTGAGGAGGGACAAGATTAACATTAATAATATTTCAGTTCAAACTTTCACGACAATAATCTAATTTGTAATATAAGCGAAAATTACAGTTAGAATATGTTACTTTTGTTGACTAGTATATTACAAACGCAAGAGTCATTTAGCAATGTCGTCCTGGTATCTGTTGATAAAATAATGGTTTTTTTTTAAATGACTGAAAATCCTAGACGGTATATATCAAGCAAAATGGTGCAGAAACATTTTCAACAGTGTTGTGCGGAGCATTATTCAACTGAGCAATTTGTGTATTTCATCCCAAATGAGCAAAACTACAAAGATGCAATAAATAGCTCATATTGATTGAAAAGGACTACTTCAGAAATAAAATATAAAATATAATTAATATATACATATATACATTTTTTCTTTAAATTTAGCACGGCTACAGAAAACACAAGACACACCAAACGTTGATCTCTATTATGGAAATGATATTATGATGAAATTTGGTAGTACAGATAATCAAGACGCAAGTGGTATGTATATCGTACCTGGTTAGATATGACTATCTATTGAACCATTGTTGCCTTCATTTGATTGTTCGGACAAGGTCAACGTTCATCCGTAACGCTGACTTATTATGTTATTTTACAATAGACATTTAAATGCACGGGGTTGTCAAAGGGCTGTCAACACAAAAAGCCCACAAATAATTCAAAAACATATTTTAGGAGTAAACCTTGTGTTTTGATAAGCATCGAATTCTTAATCATTATTACTAGCATGTTTCTTAAGTTCTGAATGACAAACGTATATTCATGTGTTTGCGTAAAATGATTGTTATCGATAATCGATAACAAGCAGATTAAAGGTTAATGGATCGGTATAATTAAAAAAAGAAAGAAAAAAAAAGGTAACTTTTTTCGATGATAAGATTTTCCATCTATTTTTTGGGACTTTTTTGGAGACACATTGATAACAAATTCGTTTTTCTCACCTTTGGTATAAACATGAAAAAGGACCATGATAATTTTCCATCGTTAGATACACATTAAATCCGTATAAAGAACGACATATAACTAGGTTGTCAAGTTGTTCGACTAAATAACTTTCTAACCACTATTCGTTCCAGAGTCAAATATGGCCTGCATTAAAAGTGTGACGAGGTATATTCAAATGGCGGTGTCAATCAGATGTGGTTTCTAAAATATTCTAACGATCTACTACAAAAACTTCAATCACGAATAAATCTTTAAAATCTTGCAGTAATATCAAAATTGAGATTTTCCCAAAATTAACATTACCACTCCCTCAATGCTTAATTGAACAATCAACTTATTAATCAGAGAATTTCTACAAATCTTAGAAAAACAGATAAACATTCCTTGTTTTAAATCATGAAAAATATGACTTTGTGAAGAATCATACTGATTCCAACAACAATTAAAATGAAATCATTAAGATGCCGGACGTTTTGATCGAAAACATATTTGTTGAGTACGGTTGGATAATATTTCAATAGACAGTCGGTATTCAGATGAGTACAAAATATGCACCACTACTATCCGTTTTATTTTTGTATTCATATGAAGCAGAATTAGTACAGAAACTTTCTCAAAGACAAAAAGAAAAAAAGCATCTTGCAAAGATCTTTAATTTCACTTTCAGATAAATGATGATGTTTCCTCATCCCATAGTTCACATTTCAATGATTGCTTACATCTTATATATCCTAGTAAACTTGATATTAAGTATACTACCAAAAGTAGAAGGGTTGATCTTTTCCCCGATATTGATTTAGATGGACGCCTTCAAACTAGAATGTATGACAAACGTGATGATTTCCAATTGTGAATCTCCGATTTCTTGGCAGTGACATACCCTCTGTTCCATTGTATAGCGTTTATATATATCAGTTAATACGTTACGCTCGTGCATATTCACAATATACGAATTAACAGAGACATGTTCCTAACACAAAAGCTGCTCAAACAGAGTTTTGCTGAAGAAGTACTTTATCGACATAACATACGTTTTACGGTCACCATCACGAATTGGTTGGCCGATACGATGTGTCGGTGTCTCAACTCAATATCGACATGTTTTCGCGGTCTTAGGTATTGAGATACTAGTAAAGAGATCTGTTAAATCGGCGATTGTGTCCTATTCCCGATTGTGACATTTTGACTGAGTGTGAACTAGTATTGCGGGTGATGCAAGCATAGCAAGAGACACCTACCCAGTCGACGCATCCGGTCTCGCTCCCTTTCGAGTTCATGCGATTCCCTAAGGTTTTGTTTACGATATTTGAACATAAATAAACTACAGTCGCCGTAATTTATTCGGAGGAGATGGGTGTTGGCGGTTAGAGAAGTGATTTGTTCTATACAATACTTCGATAATTCCTGTCATCCAACTCATGTATTATCTGGTGCAATTTAATCTGACATTAATAACGCTTGCCAGATGCCTTGAAAATATATAAGCTTATAGGCCAAAGCATATAGGAGCGATCAACTAAGATGGAAAATTAATTGAACGACAAAAAGCAGAAATATAGGACAGATTAGGCTTTAACATATACGTATACTTAGTTGGATGACTGTATATTGCCTATTTTTTTCAACTGATCTGGCGGAGCTTTCGTTTTAATTTACATATGGAAAATCTATTTAAAGATGTGTGTGACAAAGATGATTGCCTTCTAATCATTATTATTGATTTTTAATCACTATTAAGTGTCACCAAACGGATATACAAAAGAACAGAGTGTACATGTATGATATGGGACGAATAAATTAGTGTATATTCTAACATACATTATTTATCAAATAACCACATACTAGCTCATGGGAGACGCCACTTGCAGAGACTAGTGCACATTTTATAATTCATATTTGTATAATTATAATATGGAAAATTCGTGTAAATACCCCAAAAACCAGCAGCTGATACTGATTGCTGTATACAGCTGGTGGTCAACAAATCTGAAAATGAATAATATAAATTATATTTCATCATTTCGTAACATAATACTGTATACGTTGACTGCAATGGCTCGGATGACTTTAAACAGCCTAAAATTGTGAGATTAAGAATGTTAGCTACTCTGTTTCAAAATAACAAGCCTATTAAAAGACTGTTATAAAATGATAGCATATAAATAAAGGGAAAAAAAAAGAGAAAAAAAACAAAGTGAAGGGTCCGTGTGCTTGTTGTCGAGACATAAGCCGTTGAAAATTTGACGGGAAATGATTCTAGATTATTCATACTTTTAACATTGTCCGCTTTTCTCTTTTAAAAACTATGACAAAAATAACAAGGCTTTTATAAGATTTTCAAATATGATATTTAAAACTATATGTAATAAAATTATGAAAAGAAAAGTAGGGGTTAGTGGGCAAAATTCTTTAATGGCAAAACATGGATAAAACCAGAGGATTCCGAAAATCTGGCAAAAAATAAAAAAATCAGCGAAGCGAACATCCTTAACATTAAAAGGGATTCATTAAAAAAATATATAAAAAAATAAATATTTACACCCATTCCTTTCTCACATAAAAAACAGCTTCTTTGATATTCTATTTGGACACATCTGCTATTTTGCGGGAAAATCATTCTTTATTCTAAAGAAAAAAAGTATATTAAAACGTTATAAAATAACAATATATGTATATGCATATTTTGCAACTGCCGTCATAGTTATACTTTCATATCCACACTTTCCAAAATTGACATTTCTAAACATCGTTTTTCAAGAAAATCAACGGCTGAGTTTCACTATTTACTTAACGAATACACAGACAGTGTTTAAATATTGTAATCGGATCAATGAGCATAACTGGACACTTCATGCATAATGCATGCATTACGATACAATTCCTTCTCCATGTACCTGCAAATTGATCTTGAATGTAAAACTGGACCCAAATCAACAAAGCAGGTGATGACGGTCAGGTGAACTACATCTAATACGCAAGCTTATTTGGTTCTATTTTACGATGATACAGTATTTAGAAAGTTCAAACCAACCCTCAATTGTTTAAATCCTTAAATATCGGGAATCAAAATCAAAAGCGTAAAGTATAAAAGTGATTCAACAATTCCCAGTCAGTTTTTTTTCCCTTATCCAAATATTTCTAAATACTCTACAGTCTTCCGAAATTTATAATTTAAAAAATTTTTGTGAACAGTTAAAATGGCTACAACAGATTAACTTTATACAAGAGAATAGGCATATGGATGAAATGAAACCTTTTTGCACGAATTTGGAAGTGTATAAACACTATGACAATCATGTAACAAAGACGGTCCAATGTTTTCGATTTCATTTTAAGCCATCATCATGTGTAATAGATTGGTAATGTTATATTTTTTGATGTGAGTACGATACTTTTTTCCAACAGAATAGCGACTTTTTTTTTAAATATGATAATTTTGTTAATGCTTTATTTCTCATAGAAATGCGATATTTTTTCTTTGAAAACAATTACGAAAATATTACACAATGCATTTCAAACCAACAAGAAGCATTTATTCACGACAGGTCAACTAGAATAGGCAAATTATGATTGCTGACGATGATATTTTGTACCCTACGTTAAAAGAAGGAGATGGGGTATGATTCCCATGGAGACAACTGTCAAACAGAGTTCAAATGACAAAAAAGCAATACACAACAAACGGTCTCACTTATGACAAAGCAATTAACGAAAAGCAGATATATCAAATACCTACCAACGACAACCACAGATTGACAGGCCCCCGCCTTGGGACAGGCACATACAGAAAATGGCGGGTTTATAACATGTTAATATTGAGGTTTTTTTTTATAAACAAACAGTTACACTAATTTAAAGAGATATAAATCGTTTTACGACGCCTTGCTCTTGTTGTCCTTGAAGATTAGCCATAATATTGATGACAATTCTCTCGATAAGTTAATCAATATAATGGAAAGAATTTCAGGAAATTTGTTGGTTTCAATGTGTACGGAAGACTCTAATTGGCAGTGTGATTCAAAACAATTTCAAAAGAAATACCAGAGACAACTCATTTTTGAGAAGCAGACTTTCCTAATCTTTACTGTCAATAAAATGTGTCTTACAGTTAGACTGCCAAATGCAAATTAACAAGCTTTAATCTCACTCATGCATAGCTAAGATACCTTGCCCAATTGGCTTAATCCTTGGTCCTGTTTAGTTTTATCAACTGTTTAACTTTTGTATTAGGTTTTGGATTTTTAAAAGATTTTGAATCGGGCATAACTGAAGCATTTATATTTGTCTAGTAAAATTTTGTAACTTTTGCAGTAAAATTGGCACTACGAACGGTTGAACTACCACTGGGTCGATAACTAAGATAGTGAAATGTTAGTGCCCGACGGAATCAACAGTTGAGTAGCAAGTTCTCTCTGTATTTGCATGCAAATACGGGTGTCGTTTGATTTAAATTTGTCGTCATAGAATAATTGGGAATCACCTAAAGTAAAAGAATGTATTGTTTTCATCCATACCTATGGTTCCTTGTCTCGGTTAACAACGGTCGAATAGGCGGGAGTTATACCTAGGTATAAAATATCAGGTTCAACCGACCGTTTTCTTCGGTGAAATGCCTATAGCAAGTCAGGAATATAAGTTGTTTTCCACTGGTTCCATTAGTAAATAACGTTTAATTTTTATAGACTTCCCTTTTTTGATTTTACATTGGAGTTAGGCATGTTTGGGATTTTAAATATTCCTTTACTTTTGATCTTTTTTGTTTTATCAGCTCTTCAACATTTGTATTATATTTTTGATTTTCAAATATTGTTCGCCTCGATCATCACTAAATTGACATTTATTGTCGAAATATGCATCAGGTGCAGTAAAATTGATCTATCAATGTTATTATTCTGATAGGGGAGTATTTCAATAGCTAGCCAGTATAAACAACATTCAATTTTGTTGTAATTAATTGTAATTTGTAGAAATCAAGAAAAATGCAAATATATTTTGTTTTTCAGGAGACAGTCGTTGTTCAATTTATATTCGGGACCAAAGTCTGGATGTAAATGCAGTCATACAAAACATAGATGATATAAAGAAAACACTTGAAACTGGGCATTATAATGTTATAAAACTAGATGGAGCTGTGATTGGAAGTCTAATTCTACATATCTCAATACGTAATACATGTTTCGTTACAAATGAAACTCTTCATGATTCACTGAAATCATTTCTGCATCATTTTTTCTTGATAGCAGGCATTCAATGCAAGACGGGACATGTTTTTATACTAGTGTTAGCAGAGTCGGATAGCTATACAACAGGTACGTGATCAAAAGCAAAGAAATCTATTATAATTTCTATAAGATAGATATAAGAAGATGTGGAATGAGTGCCAATGAGACCACTCTCCATCCAAGTCACAATATGTGAAAGTAAACCACTATAGGTCAAAGTATGGCCTTCAACATGGAGCCTTGGCTCACACCGAACAGCAAGCTATAAAGGGCCCCAAAACTTACTAGTGTAAAACCATTCAAACAGGAAAACCAACGGTCTAATCTATATAAAAAACGAGAAACGAGATCACTTTAACCAACCTTGCACATTAAACTGGTTATGGTATTTTTAAGTTTTCCAGCAACAATTTCTAAAAGCAAAACACAATTGAATAGCTTATTGTCTCGGAAAACATGAAATCAAAATCATGTGGTACCATAATTTTGTTATTCTTTTTTTATCCTCTTCATTTGATATCGTCAAGATATCGTTAAGATGTTTCTCTGTCCTATATTTTCTCCCATTTATTTGTATTGTAGTCCTGTCATGTAATGTTGTCATTTTAATGTTATTTTTAATATTTTGCCATAAAAGCGGGAGTTTTGGCTAGCCACAAAACCAGGTTCAACCCACCATTTTTTTTCTTAAAATGTCCTGTACCAAGTCAGGAAAATGGCCATTGTTATATTATAGTTCGTTTCTGTGTGTGCTACATTTTAATGTTGTGTTTCTGTTGTGTCGTAGTTCTCCTCTTATATTTGATGTGTTTCCCTCAGTTTTAGTTTGTAACCCGGATTTGTTTTTTTCTCAATCGATTTATGAATTTCGAACAGCGGTATACTACTGTTGCCTTTATTAAGAACAATTGTGTATTTAAAAAAGAGCAACACAAATTCATTGATTCAGTAACAGAAGTTCAATACAGTCTATTGGACCAAAATGTAAATAGATAACGATCAAATGTAGAAGAAAACATTAGAAATATGTCAATACTATAACATACTCGAGTTAATCTGTTGCAGCCATTTAAACAGGTCACAAAACATTTAAAATTATGAAATTTGTGGAAGACAGTAGAACATTTCAAATATTTTTTTGTAAGCTAAAAGAAAACAAAACAAATAGGATTCGTTAAATCACTTATATTCGTCATACTCTTGATTTTGATTTCCAATATTTAAAAATTTGAACAGTTAACGATTGTTTAGAATTTTCTAACTGATGTATCATCATGAAATAGAATGAAGTTTAAACAATCTCATCATAGATACCAGAATAAGAATTTTAACGCCAGACCCGCGTTTTGTTTACAAAAGACCCATCTGTGACACTCGAATCAAACAGTTAGGAAGGCAAATAAAGTACACAATTGAAGAGCGTGCATATATCGAGGACGTGATGGATGTTTTGTCAAATACAACTAAGCTGGGTAGTAAATCAGCTGTCCGTCACTGCGACTGAATAACTTTTCCTGCTTTGTTGTCTTGGGTAATGTTTGAGCTTTTGATTTTGCCATTTGATTAGGGACTTTCCGTTTTGAATGTTCCCCGGAGTTCTGTTTTTTTGTTATTTTACTTTTCACATCTAAGATCAATTCACAGGTGCATGCACAAGGAATGTAACGGCAACATATAAGTTTCTATTAGAATGCAGATGTAAAAGCTTACATGTCTTTGATTAAAAAGATGAATATTTTTCATGGTTCAATTATTTTGGTTAAATTTACGTTTAATTCCGGTAATAAGACACCAAAATATGTACAGACACGCAATTCAGAATAGATATGTGCATTTGAAATACTAACAGCGTTTCGACATCAACAGACCAACTTCCATATAATTTGTTTTTGACTTTCAATCAATTTTTCGTGTTAATTGATCTCTCGTATATATTTTGTCCTTAATATTTTCTAATTGTAATTGCCGTGGCATTTTGTCAGTATTGAAGCAATCTCAGATTCATAATATAATACATAAAAGGAATGCCAGGAATTGCCAGAAGTATTGGACAATACAGCACACTTCTCCAAGCGTCAACACCCACCTCCGACAAATACAATATGCATACAATCGTAGAAAAGAACGAAATATACATAACCCAGATAGCCTGATTTTGTATAAACACAACAAATTGTTTTACGAGCACCAAACCAATTACGCTGCAAATCTATACAATATGCTGAAAAACAAGCTACGCGATAAAAATACTGCACAGTTTAGCTAAGATGCACAAGATGAATCTGAATTCAAATATACTCGCTACTACAGGAAGCTATCAAAGGTTGCAACAGCTGTAGGTTGAAATATCACCCAAGAAACAACTTTCTTAACAAGTTTTATGAAGTCTAGTCATTAGATTTAATTGAAATTGGCAGTATTTGTGAATGACCAGAGAAAATAAGAATAGAATCGTTGGGCGTTCGGCGATAAGAACATTTTTTACGGAATAAGAATGTACATCGTGCAATCTTTGCAATTGAAAGATGCAAATGTTTCCCCAAGTTTTAGTATATAATTGTTTTCAATGTTTTTAAGTACTATTTATATTAACGACATTACAATAGTAGGATGAGAAATGCTGTCTATTATAAATTTTTACGAGCAAAGTATTCAAAAGTTTATGAAATTTGTAACCCTGTAAAAGAAGCATTTGTGTTAATGCAAGTATGTGCTAATAAGAGTCAGAAATATAAGAACACATTTTAGCAAGCGTACCTGTTGTTAGGTGAATACGCTATAGGATGTGATAAGAGAAACAGCTCTATCGTAAACATTTATAGACATTGTTACATACATTAAGGCCTTTAAAATTATGATTTAATTTTATTATATTGAATAAAAATACCTTCCAGGTAATGGTATGCAACCATGCTGTTGGTTAATCTAATGCAAATTACTAATGTAGTTGAAAATTGTTCTATATTCATGTATGTATATTGCAGAAAATGATGTGCAGGACATAGAATATCTTCCTGAAAATTCTTTCCCAATATTAAAACTTGATGTGAATGTTCCAAATTCAGCTTTTCAAAATGAAAATGTTTTATACAAAGAGGTTAATAGATTTATTACTGGAATGTATAATGCAATAGATAGTAATGGAGTTCCAATCAATGGTTCCCAAAGGGAGGTAATGATGTTAACAGGACCAGAAAATGATGTTAAAAGGCAACTAAAGGAGCCAGATACGGATGGTAATTTCAAAATTCAACATACTTTGTATACTCTCTGGCTATTTGAATATGTTTATAATACATAATTAGAATGCGACACCACCACATAATAAGACATGTCGTGGGTGTAATACGGTCTTGAATGTTAGAAGTGTTTGAGTCATATGTCATATACTAAATCGCCGATGGTCTAGAAAAGGTGTGAATATGTTTAACAAACACTATATCCTGTGAACGTTTGAATTTCCGGCGTTTTGTATTTGCGCTGATCTGCATTTCACTAGCGCCGATTTTGTCTTTCATTTGCGCCGATTGTGTACAGGTAAATTACTGGTGAATGTTATTATTCATGTATCGTTATAAACCTCTTCCGTTAGACAGTTGTATATCTTTTATGAATTGTCAATTATAACATGTATATTACTGTTTCGAGCAGGATAAGTCAATTTAAAAGATAAAAGTACTCTGTAAAAAATCTATTTACAACATTCAAGGCCAGAACATTAAAATCCATAAAAACGGAATACAATGAATTATAAATCTGTTTTAGCCGACTATTTATATGCTACACATCTGATGTATTCCTTCATTGTACTTGAATTTCTTCTCATCTATACTTCTTGTACCTGCCATCAACGAAGTCTATCTTTTCTTTCTTTGGGTTGCGTAAAGAAGTGGGCATTTCAAGAGTTCTCATTTTAACATAAGTAACGTCCTTGATTTTCTTGATGACAACCATAACGACATATATGTTAGAGTGGTGCGAATAGAAAAACTGTTCATTGTAATTCTGGGTAAAGTACATGTACATGCATTTACTCACCCGTGTTAAAATGCAAATGCAAATAGAAGCAAATATAGAATCGGTGCTAATGAAAGAATCAAATCGGCGCAAATGAAAAATCGATTTTTTTATAAATCTGCGCAAATTTCATACGCTCATTTCATAAGAAAGTTTATAAATATGTTCGCGACGTTATTGGTGTCCACATTGATCGTCATTTATCGCTGTTGTGTCACGCTCAAATTATAAGCGAAGAAAATTCAATTAATACGAACATATGATTTATCCAAACTTATTTTCCTAGACATTTTTCTGAAATGCAATAAATACCGACAAATAGTTAGCATATTGACATAATACATACTAGCAGTGAAAGCAGAGGTTTTAAATCTTACTGAATTTGAAATATTAAGTGTAACTTATTCATCAACAATCGATTTTATTTACCTTTCACACCAGGGTAAGGATTTCCCTAGTTGTCCTCATTTCCATCTTATTGTAATACAGGATTTGACGGGACGTTTTTTAAGGTAGCACGGTAGTATTTGCATTCCAGTATTTAGGTTGCTCTTTTGTGTACCCTACCTAAGTCAATGTATCTGAACAGTGTGATTGGACAAAAAATACAGTATCAACTGAACATACTTTCCCAGACTGAGGGATGAATCAGGTGTAGAAAAATATGAAATAATTTTACATACAGATGAAAATGAATTTTTGAGATTTTTTTTAAATTTTGTATTCACTGCACGATAAAAGACCTAAAAGCACTAGTGGCCTTAGATTTTTGAAAATAGCAAAAAAAGTAAACGGTCATGATACACATTCAAATTCATTTCTGAATAGTAAAATGAAAGTACTTCAGTTAACTGTGAATGTAGAATTTTTTGCAGTGTTAGAAAGTGGTGAAAATTCTAAAAAGGCTATCATTATCCCTTATGGGCCAGGAAATACTACCGTGCCACCTTAAGGGGGATATATATGTTTACACTAAATCAATAAAGGATTTTTTTTACTTATGCAATTTGTATGTTTATCAATTAAAAGTTGATTAAAGGCAACTATAATAAAAATAGCCCTTAAATTCCATCCCTGGGAGTGAAAATTGCTGATTCAGCAAATTTTGCCTGATCTGTGGGTAATAATGTAAAAATTTACCTATAAAGTAGAACTTCATTATTTTTAAGTAACTTGCAGTACTTTTTTAATTATAAAAGCTCGCTTTAACTTTTCGCACTGTCTGACACATGTGCAACCACTGGAAATTGAGACGCGACATATTTTAGTTGCCTGTACGTCCTATTATTTTCACCGAAATAGATGATTTGCATTATTTTTTATTTTTTTCCACACAAGTACAGCTATACTAGTTTTCTTTAGGTTTAATTTATAGTTCTGTGGTAACATGACACCAGTATGAGCTTTTTTGAAACCATTAAGTAGTTAAGGGGTCCTTACTTATTCATTTAGCCCTCATATTTGGCTGAAATAGAGATAGCAATAGGGGTTTCTTTACACTGACAAGACATTTTTTTTGACAAAGAATGTAATTATGATTGTATATCAGCAAGATTTAATAGTTTATTCATTTTCCCTGCATATGTTATTAATTGTTTTGATTTTCTAACAATGAAAAGCATAATAAAGGTAAACTGATTATGTAAGGGGACATAATTTAACTTAATGCATACATGAGAAATAGACAAACAGTCAACTTAGAGATATATTCTAGTACATGTATTGTCAAATATATTTTAGAATAATAGTTAATTGCCATCTAAAGAGTCTTGTTGTGTTGCCTTCATAATCTAGAAATGCTTAAAGTAATGTGAGGCATGCTGTAAAATGTGGAATGGACTTTAATATAATTTTTCATGATTTGGTGCTTAAACTGTTTCTTTCAGTCAGATTAACTATAAATAGAGTTGGCAATTCAATAATACCTCCTGAATCACCATGTTTGACTTCTGTGTTGATTTGAAACATGGTATATTTGGGTTTTGTTCACTCCTTAAGTAAAAATGGTAAGATGAAAAAAAGTGAAAATCTGCCAGCTGGGGTAGGGGTGTAATCTTTGACTTTTTTTTGGTAAAAAATATTTGTTGACTAGTATTCTTTATTGTAATATGTTTCATAGTAAGAAGTCTATGCATCATAAGTGTCTTGACTGATTTCAAGTTTGTAATGTCTTGGTTAAGGTAGCACGGTAGTATTTGCATTCCAGTATTTAGGTTGCTCTTTTGTGTACCCTACCTAAGTCAATGTATCTGAACAGTGTGATTGGACAAAAAATACAGTATCAACTGAACATACTTTCCCAGACTGAGGGATGAATCAGGTGTAGAAAAATATGAAATAATTTTACATACAGATGAAAATGAATTTTTGAGATTTTTTTAAAATTTTGTATTCACTGCACGATAAAAGACCTAAAAGCACTAGTGGCCTTAGATTTTTGAAAATAGCAAAAAAAGTAAACGGTCATGATACACATTCAAATTCATTTCTGAATAGTAAAATGAAAGTACTTCAGTTAACTGTGAATGTAGAATTTTTTGCAGTGTTAGAAAGTGGTGAAAATTCTAAAAAGGCTATCATTATCCCTTATGGGCCAGGAAATACTACTGTGCCACCTTTATTGTGCTTGCAGATATATTTTTTAACGAATAGAATACTGTAAGTTTCTGATCGAGTTGGGTTTTAACCTGGTTTACATGGAGGTGATCGAATTATGAAGCAATAAGATTTTACTCGCTTCTGCTGGGAATATTTTTATCGCAACCACACAACTAGTGTTGTTTATTTTGGGCGTTATGTATAGGTATTTATATATTTATCAAACTTAAAGAAAACCTTACATTCTGCATCTCTTCAAATATATCATTTCAACGGTCAAAATTATTTTCGACAATCTGAAGATATAACGCGCAATTCGGTAAAATCATTTTCTCGTAATTTTTGCGAATAAGTAGTCCCCATCAGAAAAAAAGTGTTTGATGATATAACTCTTACAAAATTCAGAATTCAGTTGAGCAGTGTCAGTTTTAAAGGCGGATAAACTGTTCGATATCATATCAGTTTTCTTCTTACTGATTCAATATATATATATTTGGTTTCCATAAAACTTTGTCTGAAATAAGGGAGATAATTTGCTACATCCGGTTTAGAAAATATCACTTATGGTCACATAGGATAGCTGTTTTCACACTGATTCCAAAAATATATGGTTACTATATACTTTTACATGAAATAAGAGAGATAATTGCCATCTTCCAGTTTGAAAATGACACTTCTTGTCATATGATAGCTTTATTTACACTGATTCCAAAATTAATGGTTTCTATGTACTTTTGTCTGTAATAAGGGAGATAGTTAGCTACTTCCGGTTTATTGAACGTCACTTCCGGTTATTGTATGACAAATTGAAAAATATATGCTTTCTAGGTATTTTTCCATGAAAAAAGTGCAAACATTGCTACTCCAAATTAACCAAGGTCACATCCGGTCAAATGTCAAATGTATCACCACTTTTTGCAAAAGACTATTTTAGACTAGCTTTATCATGTACTAAGTTGAAGTAATAATCAATAAACCTTTAAAACATTTCAGGGTCAATAACTCCTATAAGATGTCATTGAATTGTTTCAGACTAAATATATCATATCTTCATCACAATAAAGCAAACATTTTGCTTTAGTTCTTTTATACATCTCTTTAAAAGTATCAGAGAAGATCATAAAACAACAAAAAGTAAAACTTATGAATTTGACCTTGACCTAAAAATCATTTCTATTATCGGTTACGAAGGAGATGCGCTATAGATGCACTCACAAGGAAACAGTGTTCAGGGACATAACTCTTTCAAAGAATAGTATTCGGTTAAGCAGTTTCATTTTCGAAGGTGCATAATCTGTTCGATATCATATACCAAACATTTAAGCGACATCTTGCGAAACAAAAATTACACACAAGAATAAAAGTGGCGGAAGAAGAAAATAGTAATTAGAACAAAATCAAAAGGTCTTTCCACAGAAAAGTGGAAAGACCTAATAATCAGAACAAAATCAATAGGTTTTTTCATGGAAAAGTGGAAAGACCTAATGATAAAAAATAATAGTTATTGGATCCTCTAGATAAGAATATATTTAACTTATAACTACTTATCATCATGCAAAAAGATATATGCTTGAAAAAAAATTAAAACGAGATTAAAAATTTATATACCAATACCTATGTTTATTCAATTTAAAGAATATTGTACATTTAAGCAAGCAAGAGATTATTTTGCAAAGTTCTGATACATAAGATACGACATAAGACTTTGACTTCATCTGTTGCATTAAAAAAGAGAAAGTATCAACAAACCCCCGTCGTAACCGGAAAGAATATTTGATTGAAAACCAAAAATTAAATGAAAAAATAAGAAAATGCGGTATAATTGCACTTAGACGATTACAAGGACAACGATGTGAACATCCCAGAATATCTTTAGGCCTTCAACTATGTTCAAAATTCATTCTGTGCTAAAAAAAAATCCCTGCGATGACAAATATCAATTCAGAAGACAAACTAATGATGTAATGACTTAGCGTAACAAACATAAAACGATTATGACCATCATTAACCAACAAGCACTGAATTACAGCCAAAAATAGATTGTGACGGAGCTAAATAGGTTTCATGTTTCACCAATGTTCGCTTCAATATTGAAATACCTACAATTAGTGATGTGTTAAAATTACAGAGCAACCTGAAGTATCAAGTTACAAGTTAAATTCTCAACAGACCGTGGATCTAATTGGACAGAAATTCGTAACAAACTTAAATTTAGAGTCAGATGATGAAATGGCAAAAGAAAATCGTTTGGCAAAGAGAAAAATTGACAAAAGTTGCATTAAAGTGAGAGAAGAAGACGCAGAGACGCAATCAGATTCTGGACATATAGAACTCAATTCACCCTTGATTGAAAATGTGAAAAAAGAAAAGGCAATGGAAGTATGCCGAACTCCTGAACAAATGAGAAACATATTGGCTTCTGGTAAAATTGAAATGATATTATTTAATTATCTTTTTTGTACTTGCAGTTAGAGTTTATATGCACAAATCCTAGTTTTGAATTCAATATGTTCAAATAATTACTTGATTGCATGGTAAGGATTGAAATGGAAGAACTTTTTTATTGTTGTTCGAAAGATTAAAAGGTTATATTTTGTAAAGAAAAAAAGTAATTGCACCTAAAAGAAAGTATAGGCTACGTGAGGTTGCTTCAAATGAGATTTTTGTTTTCACCATGATTATATTTAAAACCTATTTCGGCCAGTTTTTCTTAATAAAAAAATAAGGAGATGTAGTATGATTGCCAATGAGACAACTAGCCACCAAAAATCAAATAAAGTGGATGTAAGCATTTATAGGCAACCGTACAGCCTTCAACAATGATAAAGCTCATATCGTATAGTCGGTTATAAAAGACCCCGACATGAAAATTATGGAGCAATTCAATTCGGAAAACAAACAGCCTAATTTATAACAAAACAAACTAAGAAAAACTACAGGGCACCATGCGGCCTTCAACAACAAACAAAGCAATATCCTATAGTTAGCAACAAGATGCATCGAAATCCCAAAACAAAAAATGCCAAACGAGAAAACCAACGGCTTGAAGTATTATGAAACAATAAACGAAAGACTAATATATCATAGCTAATAACAACCAATTTCTGATTAATATTATGTTATGTTCTTACGTCGTGTACGCAGAAATATGCATCTTAGTGTCAACATTTACAGGCACTGACGACATCTCCAAAGATATGAATATTGATGACCATTGGAGGAAGTTGATTATGGAGCTATGCCGCGGCCAAATTGTAAGGAATGTGGTACCATCTAGTTTATTAACTAGTTTAGGACCAATCTTCAGTTCGGGTTTGTTTATTTAATAAAACAGGATTCTACATGTTGAGACGTGCTTGAAGTCTGGTGAAACATTATATAATCGTGTCAGCTCGTTGTGTTAGACATTAAATATCCCGTGTTTAGCAAACCGTATTTAATTAAATAATTCAAAGAGGAAGTAAACACTTGTCAATTGTGATAAAGTTTAAGCATTGTCGATACGCTTTTAGTTAGGTAGACCTTAAACTGTACAAAATTGGTAGGTGGGACGATTCAATAATATGCATTCAATAATCGTTGTCAATAAAATGGAATTTTATGCGACTGTCATACAAGTGAGAGGTTTAGCTGGCTATAAAACCAGTTTTAATCCACCATTTTCTACATAAGAAAATGCCTGTACCAAGTCAGGAATATGACAATTGGTATCCATTCGTTTGGTGTGTTTGAGCTTTTGATTTTTTCCATTTGCTTAGGAACTTTCCGTTTAGAATTTTCCTCGGAGTTAGGTATTTTTGTTATTTTACTTTTTACCTTGTTTGAAAAAACTTTGAAAATAACAAGAATGGAAATAACATTGTCATCTCGTTTTGTTGGACATTGCAATAACACATCTGTAACAATGCATACTGTTAAAAACGAAAATATCAAACAAATCAAAAGTATGATAACGTCATGTTATTAGTCAGAAAAAGTCATAGGATAACAATTAGATGACACAGAAGATTATATTTGAATCGTCGATTGTTAACCTTTTATGTTATATTCTATCGTTAAAATATTTTTTTGTAAAAGACAATATTTTTTTTGTAATCTAATTGAAATGATTTCGTAAGCCTCAATTATTTAAGAACCCGTTTCCATGTCTTTAAAGTTAATTTAATTGCTTACTTTCAGATGAAAAAAGGTCTATACTATCACTTGAAAGACAGGACTCAACAAAACGTGCAATGGATAAATTACTAGAAATGATAGACCAAAAAGATTATCAAGGAAAGTGGCAGATCTTCAAGCAAGCATTAATTGACAACGGTAAAAGATCGTCCCCGTCCACCATTCAGAAATAAATATATTCATTCACATATCTCTAAACTGATACTTGTGTAAGTCAACATAAAGTAAAACTCACCATAGATAAGAAAGGAACGATTTGAAATCTGCACAATAAGTAGATATGACAAGACCAATTTTATGACTTGATCAAAATTATTGTTTATATAAAGAAATATTTTGCAGGATGTTAAATATATATCGAAAACTCACCTCAAATAACGAAATTATTAAGAAAGTAAGGTTTCTACTCCATCATGCAATGTTTCCTAAAACGAAATTGGCATTTTTTTAGTTTATACCAATCCTGACATTTTACGTAGTTATACATCCCTCGCTTTCAAATGTTTAAGTTAGAGCTTCGTGATGAAGGTTAATTTAAACAACGCCTTTAACGCATGAAATATAAAGTATTATTTTCATTCCCTACTTTGTAAATTGGGTCCTTCAGATTGTCACTTTTGATTACATTTTGAATTTTTCTGCAACCAGCAAGATTCTTGTCTCTGGTGCTGTGCGCAAGTTAAATGGTCAGGTAAAATATGAAAAACTGACCATTTATTTTAATATAGGTGATTGATTATAACATTTTGGTTCTCCACATATTTAAATTTGGACCGTTTAAATAAAATAAAATGTAAACACGAAACAACCATAGAATATGACATGCTGTCATACAAGATTGAAGTGTCTGTAAGGCTGGATGTCAATCGAACATAACATGAACAATTCTACACAAATATTCTGATAAAATATTTTATTTACAGAATATGAATGGTTCAATGACTCTATCGAACATGATTTTACCAGCTATGAAGATACACATGCTTGGGAATATTTGTTAAGTTTGTTTGAGAAGAAATTGTCTGAAATGATATGCCCACTAGAAATTTTACAACATTTAAGAGAAAAGTCAATAATAAGCGAGAAAGACTCACTGGACGTATATCAGATATGCAGAAAATACGGTGAAAATGCAGCTACGTTACAACTTCTGACTTATCTTCCAAAACGGAAACCCAAAGTCTGGTACCCTGAATTCATGAAAATACTTTATGAAAATGGCTATGAATGTCTTGTTCAAGAAATCGACCCGGAACAGTATGAAAGTAAGGACAACATTTTTTGAAATATTCAGATATTTTTCAGAGGATTTTCATATCTTCCTGGACTTTTATTTAAAAAAGGTAATTTCGTGTTTGATTTATAAAAGTGAGGATTGTTTTAAATTATTATGAGCACGAAAATAAATCTGAAGATGTATAACTTCAGTACGCTTGCTACAAAAATTCAAAAACAAATATGCTGGATAATCTTAACATCGGGTCTTGGTCCTTTGTGAACCTAAACAATCGGATTTGTTTTTTCTCAATCGATTTATGAATTTCGAACAGCGGTATACTACTGTTGCCTTTATTTGACATTGATGTGCGTTTTTTATGGCTAGTTGGGTTCACTGGTGTACTAAATATTATACAATTCAACCTTTCTACTTTGAGTTATTAGTCCCCTTCCGACGAAGTCGAAGTGGGACTTCAGGTTTGCACTCTGTCCGTCTGTCTGTCTGTCCGTCCGTCTGTCCATCCGTCAGTCCGGCAAATCAGTTTTCCACACTTTTTTCTTCGTTCTTGAAGATATTGATTTGATAATTGGTATATTTTTGCCATGACAAGTTATAGATCGAGTTCGAATTTTGTTCTGGTCTGATGATTTAGTCCAGAGTTATGGACCATAACTCTGGACCATATCTAATGTTAGAGTACTATGTTAAACCATATTTATGTACAAAGGGAGATAACTCATTTTTTAAAAGACATTCTTTGGTAAATTATTTGAAGAATTTTTTGGCAGGTTTGTTTGTTATTTTGTATAAACTAATTTTCTGAATGCTATATATATATATAAAAAGTAGGAAGTGAAATCCGTTAATTAGATAATAATCTATTTTTATTAATGTATATATTACATTACATTGTGTAGATAAAAATTGTTGACATTTTATAGATAAGTTACAAATCTATATTAGTTTGTGACAAATAAAAGAAAACATATTTTGAACTATTAATTATATTTGATTATAATTTGAAAATAGATATACACTGTATTACATCATATCTAATTTTAGAGAACTATTAATCATATCTAATGTTTAAGTGTTTTCCACACTTTTTTTCATCATGCTTGAAGATATTGATTGATAATTGGTATATAGTTTTTTCATGACAAGTTAAACAGATCAAGTTCGAAATTTTGTTTTGGTCTGATAATTTTGCGCTGAGTTATGGTCCTTGGACTTGAAAAATTCACTCATTTAATCAGTTTTCCACACTGCTTGAAGATATTGACTTGATTTTTTCTTTTTGTTTACACCATGACAAGTTATAGAACAAGTTAGATTTTGTTCCAGTATAAGGAATTTTTACCCGGTAGGGGACTATGTATTGCCATGCAAAACTCTCAGAATGCTTGTTATTATTATTATTATTATTATTATTATTATTATTATACAGTATTTATAACAGCGCATTATATAATATTAAAATTACCCTAAGTGCTTTACAACATATACCCATTCACATATATAAGTATTAACAATAATATATGAAAGCCCATGTTATAAAATCATAAAACAAACAGATTTAAAATATATTAAAAAATTACAATGATATAGAAATATTTTAAGAACTATGAAAAAGCATGTCTGAATAAATGAGTTTTCAGGTTTTTCTTAAAAACGTTCACAGAATGGATGTTTCGTAGATCACTTGGCAAATCATTCCACAGAACGGCTGCCGCTTTGTCGAATCTTCTTTCCCCATATGTTTTAGTTCTCACACGTGGCGTTGTTAAAATCATGGCATTTTCAGATATAAGTGCTCGCATGGGTTTGTAAATATGAACGAGTTCTTGTAGATAGACCGGTGCCTCCTCGTGCAAAGCCTTGAACACATACACAAGAAGTTTATATTGGCATCGATACGTTACGGGCATCCACTGGATAGATTTAAGGAGTGGTGTGATGTGGTCGTACTTCTTCTTCCTTGTAATGACCCTGGCTGCTGTGTTTTGGACTCGCTGTAAGCTTTGCTATGTTCGTCCTATTATCAAGTGCTTTGAACACGAGATGAACTTGTGTGTCGTCTGCATAACAGTGATAGCACATATTATGGCGTTTACATATTCCGCCAATTGGTCTTGAGAAAATGCAATAAAGTTTTGGTCCCAGGACCGATCCTTGAGGAACACCAAATAGGAGACGAATCTCATTCGAAAGAACAGAACCAACAGCGATTCGTTGAGTCATCTCGAGATACGACTTCAACCAACTAAGTGCTGTACCGGTTATCCCACAAGAGTATTCCATACGCTTTATCAGAATAGAATGACCGATAACATCGAAAGCAGACGTTATGTCTAGCATTAGTAAACAGTCGTTATCAAGTGCAACAGTGATGTCATGATGCACACGAAGTAATGCTGTCTCAGTCGAATGACACGCACGGTACGCTGATTGTACATTGGCGTGAAGAGAGTTTTACGTATGATGGTTTTCAAGGTGAGTCTCAACGACCTTTTAGACCACTTTGGATACAAACGGAAGATTAGAGACTGGTCGATAATTTTTCAACACCTCTTTGTCTAGACCAGCCTTTTTTCAAAAGTGGTCGAACAACTGCCTCCTTGAAAGAAGGCGATACAAAAACACTGCTCCAGTGACAAGATCACTATCTTGGTGATGACGGTAGCTAAACTGTTCAAACAAGGTTTTAATATCTTTGTCGGAAGTGGATTTAATTCGCATGATTTGGTTGGAGCTTTCAAAATAATTTTACGTACTTCCTCTACAGATGCAGGTGTAAAGAAGGTGAGTGGTTGGCCTTCAGATTTTAAATCGTATTTGAAATCTTCATTCTCATAAGCAGACGATTCATTCACTTAACATAGGTTGGTCTTTATTGTTTCAATCTTTCTTAGGAAAAAGTTTCCGAATCTATTTGATAGTTCAATTTCACTGTGGTAAGACGGCAAAATCTCATCGTTTGTGTTTCCCATTAGACCGTTTGTGAACTTTAGCAGTTTCTTTTGATCGTGTCCAACTTCAGAAATTTTATTTGAATAATAGTCCGTCTTGCATTTGAAGAGCAGTTTGCTTGTGCTGGAACAATGTTCTTGTAAATCTGTTAATGAACTTCGAGGTTTGTTTTTCGCATGTGTCGCTCAGCCTTGCGGTGGTCTCGCTTAGCAAATCGCAACACATCATTGTACCACTCTGGGTTTGGTCGCTGAGTGATCACTTTTGATTGTTCTGGAGCATGCCTGTCGAGGACTGATCGAAGCACTGAGTCTTACGACGCGACAAAATGTTCAACCGAAGTATTTTGCTAATTTAGGAGAAGAGAATTGTTTATATCCATTTCGATATTTTCAATGTTTATTTCTTTGATCTTCCGAAAACTCACGGACTTTCTTTGTTTCGGTGGTTTAGTGATATTAAGTTCACAAAGCACTGCAAAATGATGTAGCGAGGAAATGCCTTTGCCATCACAGATTTGCAGATCCTCAATTGACGGCACTCTAGCAAGAATGGAACTATTCTTCCTACATAAGATAATGTCGAGTGTGTGTCCACGGATATGCGTAGCGCCGACAACGTGCTGTACGAGACCATGGTCGCTAATAGTTTCTTTAAATTTACGAGTGTCACAATTATTCTTATCGTCGAGATGGAAATTCAAGTCCCCAGTCAGAATGATTTCTTCGGGAATTTTGACAATGTAGTCACGGAAGTCTGATCACTCCTCAAAAAATGTCGAATTTTTTAGTTGATTTTTCCTATCTGGAGGAGGAATATAGATCACATAAAGCCGAACTTGATGATTTTGTGCACTTACACAGCATTCAAGAAGTTCAAAATGTGTGAACTTCTTCTTTGTTTGCGGAATACGTTTGATAATCAAGTTTGATTTATGTACGATGGCAACACCTCCGCCTTTTCGATCCGATCTTGCAGCATGCTGAATATCGAGTTAAGTTGTCTTTCTTTGAAAATTGGTTCAATACCTTTGTTCTTTCATTTATCACATGCTTTATTAATTAAATAGATGGTACACCAATTTAGTTTAAGATATTTTATTGTTTTCGGTCGTTATTCTCCTTATTTCATGCAAATAATAATCCATCCAAAAAGCAAACACCTAAACAGTTTTTCATATTTTTGAATTTAATATAGTTCTATTTCGTATGCATAAAGCTTTAACTATTTTGAAAACATTTGTATCTTTTGCAGATCTAAACGCTCAAAGTTCTGCCTTACCTGACAGCATGGATGTTCATAAGACACCAGAACCTACTGAAATAGTCATCACAAACACGGAATATGACACACAAGAAAATTACATGCCTGGTAAAATCTAACTTAGTATCAGAATTTTGAAATCCATAATGTAACTAGAAATTAAGAGTTATGGTCATCACACAAATAATGGTGTTTAACAATAAGCTATTTTGCCATGTTGGGATAGAAAAAAAAATAACCTTTGTTAAGATAGCTCAGACCAACTCTTAAAATATGATAAACTGAAAATATTTGTACACGTATTATATATGCTACACACATTTTGAGCAATACTAAAATATTTAGTGATGTGTTAAAACAAACTGTCATTTGTATAAAATAAGATATTGCGATATGATTGCCAATAAGACAAAAAAATCAACAGACCCCAAACAAGGTGGATGTAAGCAACTATAGGTTACCATACGGCCTTCCACAATGAACAAAACCAAAACAAAAAAACAGAAAAAAGTGACAAAAGGACTCGACATGAAAAGTTGTAATAATTTAAACGAGAACAACCTGTGGCCTGAATTATGACAAAAAAAATACAGAAAATCAAATATGACAGGCCATAGCCATTTACAATATCTGAAATGCAGGTTCTTGACATTGGACAGGCATTTCTTGAATATGGCGGAATTAAACATGTTAGCGAGTGCCAAAGCCATTCCCTGATCCGGGACAGTGGTGAAACAGCACAACATCGGAACAAGATGTTAAGATCGTTTGGACAGGATTACACTCACCAAAGAACAAAAACACAACTAAAAAATATAAAATAACAAAATACATAGTGTATCGATCCCAGGTTACTCACAATTACTAAACATTATTTTGTAGCCAATATCAGCTAATTAATAAAACCAATATTATACATCCAACAGATTTAGTACAAAGACGTTATCAACATTCTAGAAAGGCACTACCTTTTACAATGCCAAAATAAATTTATCAACTGGATGTAGGCACTAAGTGTTCATCGCTGTAAAGCAATACATATCTAGTTATGACTCAACTTATATATCAATAATAAAAGCAATGTTAGTATAGATAAAGACAGTATTAAAAGATCTAACAACAGTTGTATACAGATAACGTGTAAGAATTATATTATTCAGAGATAAAATAAGCTTACATGGATCATATTTAAATTTACGGACTTAAGATGTCATAATGTGTTTTAGCAAGGTTTCTACTGATACAGACAAACTTTAAAATTTAATATTTGTTTCGGTGATAGAATCAACTAATGTGTGGTAACGACTACTTCCCCTAATACTGTACCAAGTATACATAGAATACGTTCCAGACACGGGAATAGCAAATGTGTTGGGAAACTCACATTCCACAAAAGGAAACTATATAATCGGGAACAGTGTGGATAAAACTAAAATTTCACATGAATAATTCCAAACTATATGTCATATGAAAATAAGGAGATGTGGTATGATTGCCAATGAGACAACTATCCACCAAAGTTCAAATGAAGTGGATGTAAGCAATTATAGGTAACCGAACGGTCTTCAACAATGAGAAAAACCCATACCGTATGGTAGGCTATAAAAATAAATATATTAAGCGTAATATCAATGCTTTCCAACCTATTGCTACAAGATCGTAATAAAAGACCATCTATTTCATCCCCTATTTTCGTCAGTTCAGGAAAATCCTGAAACACAATATGTTTCATTACAGTCCATCCCATTCCGTTTTGCCTAAACAAATTACTTTAAAGTAAACAATCAACTAAGTCTATATGTTCCTATCTGGTCAAACATTCTACGCCAGAAAAAGAATGAATAGTAGCGGTCTAAATAAAAATCTTTTTGACAGAAACTTGATACAATCCCAAAACTCTCTTTCGTGGGGAAATTGATGTAATGAAAATTAATTACTAAAATGCCAAAAATTCGAAATTTATACAATGTTATTTGTATTTACTAGCACAGGATCGATACCGCTGCTGATGGGTTTTTAGTTCCCGAAGGTATAATCAGCTCAGTAGTTAGTGCTTCATCACTGACATGATTTATAACATATTTTTCTAAACTTCCCCGTTGATAGTTCAAGAAATTACTAAAAAAGTAAGGTTGACCTCAGATGAATAGGCTATTGCATTATCATTTAGCTTCTACCGTCTATGCTTATTTATACATCAATGGCTTTTAAATGTTTTCATTTGGAGTTCCTAATGAAAATAAATCCTGAAAAGCGCTTCATTCACAAGAAAATTTATACAGAACTATTTTCATTCACAAGAACCAGGTCAACACCACTCCTGGGGTACTTTTATAGTTCCCTATAGTGTCATCAGATTCACTGTAAGTTTTTACGGTACTGATATTACATATTTATTAGAAATGATATGATATATCAAGAAATTACCAAATATTGCCAAAAAACACCTGAAACAAAAACCACAAAGCAAAGAAACAGCGCTTTAATTGCTGTTTTTGATAATAAAGAAACCTTGGACCAATACTCTCATATCAGTGCAAGTGTGAGGTTGCTCCTAGAACCGTTTATCAACAAATTTCGAATTCTATCTGGCAAAAAAAATAACAACTAATGTCATTTTATGCTAATTGAATTTAATTATCCAGACAGGAGGAGAACTCGTAAATTCTTATAAAAATAAACACGTGATGAAATGCTTCCAGTCCGAAATTTATAATATACCAAATTGCAGCAGGAGGAGTCAATAATTTTCATGCAATAATAATCTTATGTCTGACAAAACATTTTAAATGACTAGAACCGATAAAACCTTTTCAGCTCGTATTGTTGGACATTAAATATCCCGTCTTTAGGTGAAATACTACCAAATCATAGTACGTCACATCCAGTTTCATACGAAAAAAGGTAAGAAAAAAACATTCATTTGTGTTTGACAGTGGTAGGAAATATACCCTGCATTTCATTGCAGAAAAAAAATCTGAGTCATAAACATATATTATGGGTGTTTCAAAGCACCATCTTTTTTTATTTGGTATTTCTATAAAATAATTTGGAAACTTGAGGTGACATGGTTACTAAAGCCTGTAAACAGGTAAAGAAGGGATGAAAATATGACTGATTTACTTCCGGTGATGGTTATTATCGTATATGCAATGTAATAGTATGTGAAATTTTCACTGTAATACTGCACAGTATAAAACTTTATTTCAAGTATTTCTTGATTTGAAACAAATAAAAACTCTGTTTTTGAAAAATGTCAATTAAACAAAGACTAATATGGGAAAAAAATTGTGGTATTACTCTTTTAACGATGGATAGAATATCGGAGCGAAGATGAAGTTCTCTGTATGTTTTATAAAGAGTATTGTGTTTCTGGGCAATTAAAATAATAAAATAATCATGATATTATCATATTAATCGAATAAATGATTATTCGAAATAAGAGATCAAAGATCCAAAATTGTTAGAAGATACCAATAAGTTAAGACCAACGTCACTGTAATAATTTTTGACGTTCTTATTGATGAACGTATTTAGTGGCTACATATTTTCTCTTGATAAATATTTAATTTAATTTTGTATGCATTATTTAAAATGAAAATATTACTTCACAAATCGTCTGCGTCCGAAAGACTCTTCTTGAGTGATTTTATAAACTTGAATAATGTCAGAACCCATTTGGATTTTTTAAAGTTTTAAATTGATAAACTTTAATAAGTTTGTAACAAAACAAAAAAAAGCTTACATGGATCGTATCAAAATTTACGTGCTCTTTAAATACAATCATCAGAAATAGTAAAATGTGATATCCCGTTTGCAATAAGGTTTCTGCAGCTTCGGCCAAACTTCCAAACAAAATCTATGTATATATGCTAGAATATTTTGATTTATAGTAGCACAATTCATGATAACTAAGTCTGTATTTTATCACTGCGGTACTGATCTGGTAAAATATTTCATGCAGGAAAATCGTCAAATATTTGCATGTTATAATTGCCACTAGACGTTAAGCAAATATCATTCAATCAATTATACTAAATAAGTATAAACTTAAGCGATCTTAAAAAAAACAATTGCTAAACTGTGTTAGTGGGGAAATAGAAACAATGAACATTATATGTAAATTGCCATAGTATCAATATACAGTATTAGGTCAAAGTGTTTCACATATCCTAAATCCCTCTTGTTATTTCATATAAAAACACATACATAGGTATACTTGGTCATCAAATCAGAATTCTCACAATAATTTAACTTATGGCTTCGATAGACTATTAAAAGATCAACAACACTTTCAATTTAAGGCTGTGCAAAACATTTTAATGAGTAGCACTCGATTCTCATCGACAATATATTGTCGATTTTCGTTCTCTCTTCATTCATTTTTTGTCTCCGTTTCTTTTATAACACTGTCGTTGTATTATTACTTTCTGCTTTCTGATGAAATGTTTTATGAATATTTAATACACATGAAACATTAATTAATGCTCTTTATTTAGTTTATTATATTCACTGTTGTTTAACGTGCATATTCATCTGCTTATCAGCATGTAAATATAACTTAGTGATTTTGTGTTTCAACTCAGGAAAATTGGATGTTTTTTGAAGCACTGCTCTCTTTTACCTTATCCCAATTTTCGAATCATTTGTATACTTCGGACTTGTCTATACTAGTAATGTTTACATGACGAATCTTTGAATGAAATACACCAACATTAAACACTTAAGATCTTATAAAAAGGGTACTACACAACCAACTAACATTTTGAAAGAAGAAATATTTAAAATGCTGTGTAGACTGAAAAAATAAATAAAAAAAGCCGGATGAAACATGTATTTTTATTCTAACCGCTTTATTCGTTTCATCGTACAAACCGAACATATTAATATCAATGTCAACATTTACAGGCGCTCAAGACGTCAATCTTGATGACCATTGGAGAAAATTAATTATGGAGTTGTGCCGCGAACCAATCGTTAAGAATGTGAGGCCATCTGGTTTATTAGCTCATTTAGGACCAATCTTCAGTTGGGGTATGTTTTTTATTATAAAAATATGTAATCTAATAGATGTAATAATAATCTCACAGACAATGTTTTAGCATTACCGCTGTCATTATAATGGAAAATACATATCATGGTTATCAAGTGTTTGCTTTTTAACACTACGCGCATATTAAACAAACCAAAACTCAAAATGAAAAGTTGCAGCGCTTGTACTACTGTTTTCATCTTAAAGTCAAAGTAAGACCGTCAACATTGGACATAAACACTCGTCTCAGTGCAAGTAAAATTCCGCCCGTAACACCAGATATCAACAAATAATGAATTTTAATCTGGCAATGTAAATTTATCAAAAACTGTCATACAAAGCATATAAATTAGAATCATTAGAGGAGAGGAGTACTTGTCATTTTTTTCAATTTTCAAGATGTGGGGAAAAGATTTTAGTTCCAGTTTAGGTGTGGAAACATTAACAATATTTATGCACTAATCCTCTGATTTTTCTGCAGGCACCAACAATAAGCTACTAGGACTTTCTACATGGAGTAGTTCTCTGAAAAAGTAAAACATCAAAAATACCGACCTCCAAGGAAAATTTTAAACGGAAAGTCCTTTATCAAATGGCAAAATCAAAAGCTCCAACACATCAAACGAAATGCTAGAAATAATGGGGATATCGAATAGATCAAAAGTACAATGTTTTTGTAATGAGAGATCAAAATATTTAATTGTATCATTTTTAATTGATGGTTTTGACATTTGTAAGCAGGATACACAAAATACCAATACATATCCCAGCCTCATTTAACATAAGAAGAATATTAAACCTTGATTTGGTTAGAACTTTTTAGTTATCTGAATTTTGAAATATATACATTTCCTAATTTTTAATTTATCCATTTAGGTTGCATATCATCTCTCAATAAAGAATGACCATTTTTTTATGTGAGAAAGAAGAAGAAAACAAATTTAATTAAATAAAATTCATAGAACTTTTAATTTTAGTAGCAGCAAAAATATGCCCTTATTAAGCATACATTGTAGCTAAAAAATAGTTTTACATTTGTTATATTTCTACAAATGACTATGAAGACATAAATATAATAATAAACACAAAACAAAAACATTTATACAAAAAAAAGGTAACATTATTTAATATATAGTATGTACATGTATGGTGATGTGGATAAAAACTGAAAAGTGAGACTAAATAAAGTAATTCCTAGTTTTTTTAATAAAAATTATTCTAATCAAATCAAATCAAATCAAATCAAATGTATTGTACAAAAAACAGGCCTCCAGCCCACGGTACATTTATAAATTCACAATTTATAATGTCAACTACAGTTTAATAAGAAGATATATTAAACAATACAACACAAACATATTACACATATTAATATATATATATACATATATCAGCAGGGTTTAAGAACATCAGTTGTTCGACCTGTTAGTCAAATGCGTTTTGTTAAAATATACTTTTTCACTTTTTTGGTCTTTTGGAAAATGTTGTTTGTGCTGTATTTAGACCCCTCTAACAAGAAATTTGTTTTGCATGCACACGTATTAAAATTGCGGTTTTTATTCAACGCAATTATAGGTTTGAACGTTGTTTTCAATTTAGACTTATATATATATATATATATATATATATATATAAGTACGTCTGAACCAGTGACAACTCTACAACAAATTTATCCATCGGATCACCAGCAGTGATGATGATACATGGTTGTGTACATTATGTGTATACAACTCGTCTACACATCAGCCCAACAATGTTAGATCTGTAAATTTGCTTTCGCAAATTTTTAGTTCTTCCCTCGCCGGAATTCGAACTCATGCTACTGAGATATCGTGACACCAATTGGCCTGCACTGTATCCATATATATATATATACAAGTCTAAATTGAAACCAACGTTCAAACCTATGATTGCGTTGGATAAAAACCGCAATTTTTATACGTGTGCATGTAAAACAAATTTCTTGGTAGAGGGGTCTAAATACAGCACAAACAACTTTTTCCAAAAAGATAAAAAAAAAGTGAAAAGCATATTTTAACAAAACGCATTTGACTAACAGGTCGAACAACGGATGTTCTTAAACCCTGCTGACTGCCATTGGCGATTGCCAAATAAATTGATCACCGTATGTAACATGAATCTTAATTATTAATTTAATACCAAACAGAAAACAATAAACTTGCGGAGAAGATGGTATACCGCAAACATGAGGTGCAAAAATTTGTACACCATATCCGGATTTCGACAATTAATGTCTCTTCAGTGATGTTAGGGATCGAAACGGTATTTGGAAGGCCATATAATTTACCTCAATTTAGGATAGACTCTTCAATTTTACAGAGTCGAAATAGGATGAACGGATCATATAATTCGAAGTAAAATATAATACAAGCCCAAACGAAAAAATATAAACAAGTCTAAATTGAAAACAACGTTCAAATCTATGATTGCGTTGGATAAAAACCGCAATTTTTATACGTGTGCATGTAAAACAAATTTCTTGGTAGAGGGGTATGAATACAATACAAAAAACTTTTTCCAAAAAGATAAAAAAAAAAGTGAAAAGCATATTTTAACAAAACGCATTTGACTAACAGGTCGAACAACGGATGTTCTTAAACCCTGCTGACTGCCATTGGCGATTGCCAAATAAATTGTTCACCGTATGTAACATGGATCTTAATTATTAATTTAATACCAAACAGAAAACAATAAACTTGCGGAGAAGATGGTATACCGCAAACATGAGGTGCACAAATTTGTACACCATATCCGGATTGCGACAATTAATGTCTCTTCAGTGATGTAAGGGATCGAAACGGTATTTGGATGGCCATGTTTACCTCAATTTAGGATAGACTCTTGCATTTTACAGAGTCGAAATAGGATGAACGGATCATATAAACCAGAATGAAAAATAATACAAGCCCAAACGAAAAAATATATAAACAAGTCTAAATTGAATTTAATTTGCAAAATGTTTTAATAGACCAGTATTTGTAATAAATTAATTTGTTTATCGAGTATATTCATTTTTATAAAGTCACAGTGACAAAACTTCCTCTCTACAGTATTTAGCTTTTTTTTTTAAATACAGCAAGATTTTCCAAAGTAATTACATTTTTAGATCTAAAAATACTTATTATTGTGTCTTTGTTACAATTAATTTGACACCATAATGGTAAAACATTTCTCCTTATATCAGCCAAAATCGGACAAAACGGAATTCATCTTCTATTTCATTTGTATTACAAATTTTACACAACCTATTATCCCTTAGTTGATTTTCATGTCTACCTTGTTCTATAACAAACTTATGGTTTGAACATAAAATTGAAAAAAAATCATATCTTAGGTTATATGAAAGTTTCTGTATATTTTCATTTATACGAATGTAATCCTTAACTTTTGAGTAAAATGCACATTTTGATGAGTTACCAATGTAATCTGACCAAGTTTGTAAATTTTCATCTTTAAGTCTCTGTTTGAATAAGTTCATAAACAGTTTTGTATCTCCCACACCTTGATTTTCCAATGCAACACCAAATCCATTTGAAAATAATAGTCTTTGCACTTTAGAACACCAATTTATACGTTCATTTTCATTCATTTCAAACATCATACGGTAGCATAATTTTAGTGGACTGCTATCATCCATGCATTGTAAATGAAGAAAATATTTTATAGGTTTACACACATAATTTACATATAGTTCATGACGGCCACATTCACCTCTTGCTATATGATTATTAGTCTTTTTGGCCCATTCCTAGTAACCATTTACAAAATTTGTTTTAAACAGTTTCAATGTCTTTCACTTTATCTGTACCCCATAATTCTGCACCATAATAAAGAATTTGAGCAACCATAGAGTCAAATAATATGAATCCATGATTTATATCTCTAGTTCCAAGTTTACACATACACTGTTTTATCATGTTCAGAGCTTTTTCACACTGCATTCTTAATGTTTTGCAACAGCAAGTCTATTTCAATCTATTGGAAAAATATATTCCTAAATATTTATAATAACTGACAACTTTTAAAAGTTCATTTTTGAAGTACCACTTCTCGTTTTTAGACAATTTACCTCCATTTTTAAATACAACAATATTTGATTTGTCCATGTTTGCAGTCATATTCCACTTTTCATAATACTTTTCCAAACTGTTTAATCGTCTCTGTAGATCAATTGGTGTATCAGCTATAAGCGCAAGATCGTCTGCGAAGAATAGAAGCATAACGTTATGAAAGTTCTCATGTATGAAGATGCCATTTCCACCACTATTCTCAATTTCAGTTGCAAGTCCATTTATATACATTGCAAACAACCATGGACTTAAAGGACAACCTTGTCCCACGCAAGAATTACATGTAATAGTTTCTGATAATCCATCAGTTGTTTTTACTTGTGCTTTGACATTACCATAAATATTTTTTAATAGCTTTATCATTCTACCATGTAAATCTTTACTTAACAATATATAAAAAAGCTTTGAACGATTGATGCCATCAAAGGCTTTTCTAAAATCAGTGAATGCACAATACAGAACACCCTTTTCTTTGATAAATATTTCATAATAATACTACACAAAAGGAAAATATTATCTATTGTGGAGTAACCACTGCGAAAACCAGCTTGTTCTTCTATTATATGCTCGTTCAAATCTGACCATAATTTTAATCTGTTACAAATACTCATAAAAGTTTTACTTATTACACATAAAAGTTATATACCACGATAGTTACCACATTAATTTCTATCACCTTTTTTAAACAATGTAATAATAATAGCAGTAGACCAACATTCTGGAAAATCACCAGTGTGAAATATTTCATTAAATAGTTTTAATAACACTGGCAGTAATGTTGAAAATAAACATTTATGAAATTCCCCTGATAAACCATCTTCACCTGGTGATTTATTATTTTTAAGCTTTTTTTTCGCTTAAAATTTTCAAGTAATATCACTGTCTAAATATGAAAGATTTTCATTAATACATAAATCACATTCAGTATTATGAGTCTGTACAAAAGTATCTACAAATTCAGAAAAATTTACATCCTTATCTAATACATCAGGGTTCAAAAAGTTAGAAAAATAAGTTTTTCATTCTTCACTAGAAATATTTGACCTAGGTATATTAGATTTACTTATAACTGATTTTATCAATTTCCAAAATTTACAGGAATCACCAGTTTTAGCAACATTTCTTATTCTCTTTGTGTCGTTTTGTTTAGTATCACACATCTTGTGAACATTTTGTTTTGTTTTAACATATTCTTGTAGTATGTCAGTATCACTAGTTGCTCGAAAATTATTTAATAGTTTACACTTTTTTCTTTTCATATACACACATTCTGAATTAAACCATTCCTGTTGTTTAATAGCACGTACACTGTGTTTATTATAAAATAATAATAAACCTGCTTCTGTACAAATATGTTGCAAGTGAGAAATTAATGCATTAACAGCATCATTTGTATTGCTGGCCATTAATTCTAAAATATCATTTAAACATGCTAATGATGTTGGATTGGGTAGTAGATCTGTGCACAATTGAGCATAGTTACTGTTCCGTTTGAATAGTATCTGTTTCTCATTACAATATTCGTCACCATTTTCAACATGTCCTGTAACTGGAATATTTAAGCAACATGAAATTGGTAAATGTTTTGACAAATCAACAGGAAGTACAGTAAAATGTGATATCCATCTAAATATGTTTTGGCTAGAAATAATATAGTCAATAACACTAGCGCCACTTGAACACATATAAGTAAATTCACCATTAAAAATTATTCTAGTATTTTGATGAAGCGGACCCAGCAAATATTATGTGGTTTCTTCTGAAAATATATTCTTTTCTAGCATTAAAAATCCATGAGAAGAAAGTTTGAATCCTGTAAAATTTACTTAGTTTATACAGTTTTGATCGATGAATATATAATTTTGTTAGGAGTATATTTATTATTTTTATCTAATTAATTCATGTGTTTTCTTATTTGCCATAAAAAGAGGATATCCATGTTTGAATTTAACTGTTTTGTCATTAGCCCAAAAATACCAATAAGAAATGACAACGTCACTATTAGAATAAACTCATCATAGATAAGAGAATTTTTATACATAATTTAAAAATGAAATTAACACTTAATACCTTTGTTCGAAGCTTGTTTCTTGATTGATTTAATGAATTTGATAAATGTCTGATCCTTTTGGATGTCCTTAAGTTAATGTTACTGCTTATTTTCAGATGAAAAAAGCTCGATTAGATCAATTGAGAGAATGGAATCACCTCAAAACGCAATGGAGAAATTACTGGAAAAGTTAGACCAAAAGGAATATGAAGGAAAATGGCAGATATTCAAACAAGCATTAATAGAAGATGGTAATAAATCTTTTTGTCGCTGCCAAGCAAAATATAAAACACTTAAGATAAAAACAGAGTAAACGGAAATTGATAGAATATGTTAATATGGCACAATTTATTTTATGGTTTGAATTTTAGATTGAATTTATTTATTTTTTTCCTAAAAGGGGAATATTTTGATTGATATTTTGATCTCGTTCTGAACATTCATGACATATTTGCAACTGGACGTTAACAAACCCCAATCAATCAATCAATAGAAAAACTTGACTTTACCATGACTTCAAGTTTGGCCAAAAAAACTCCTATAGTTTATATAAGGAACAAATTACAAAACTTGGTAGAATTACTTCATACTATGTAATTATTATCTTTCTACTGTCTCCCTTTATTGAATTTAATTTGTTTGTAGCAAGCAACTATTATTGAGATCTTTTCTCTGATCTCTGATGCTTTGTAAAGAAAATGCGTAGGTCAACTCTGAGAAAAAAAGAGGAATATACAAAGGAATCATCCAAGTCTCATTAGTCCATTATAAAGATAACGTCTTAAAAAAAAGGAAAAAAACTGACTGAGCAACAGGAACGCAGAAACATTTGGTGATCTCAGGTGCTTCGGAAGGATAATCAGATCCTTCTGAACTAATAGCATCCGTAACGTTGTTGATAGTTAGTACAAATTTGATAATACTTTACATTCAGTAATGTAACAATCGTTGACAAGTGGACTTGATTGTTATTACAACAATTTAGATACATATCTGCGGTCATTTGTGACATAGACATTCTTCCTCGATCAACACACTCGTGATTGCGCTGTGAAATGTTCGAAAATGAGAGACAAAAGAAACCTAAGAGACATTCAAATTCATAAGTCGAGAAAAACAAACTGACAACGCCATGGAAAAAAAAGAAAATGACAAAAAGACACAAAAACAACAACATAGAAAACTAAAGACATGAACCTCATCAAAAATGAGGTCTCAGGTGCACCGGTAGGGTGAGCAGATCCTTGTCCAAATGTCACACCCGCCGTATTGCTCATGTAAGTACAAATCCGGTGATAATATTCTAATTCGGTGGTTACGTTCGAGAAAAAGAAGACGGTTTTATGTTTACGACAATTGGAAAAGAAAGGCGAAAGATACCAGAGGGACATGTAAACTCATAAGTCAAGAAAAACAAACTGACAACGCCATGACAAAAAAAAAATGAAAACACACAAAAACAACAACATAGAAAACTAAAGACATGAACCCCACCAAAATGAGGTCTCAGGTGCACAGGTAGGGTAAGCAGATCCTGGTCCAAATGTCACACCCGTCGTATTGTTCATGTAAGTACAAATCCGGTGATTATATTCTAATTCGGTGGTTACGTTCGAGGAAAAGAAGACGGTTTACGACAATAGGAAAAGAGAGGCGAAAGATACTAGAGGGACATTCAAACTATAAATCGAGAAAAACAAATTGACAAGGCCATGGCAAAAAAAAGAAAAGGACAAAAAGACACAAAAAACAACAACATAGAAAGCTAAAGACATGAACCCTACCAAAGATGAGGTCTCAGGGTCAGGTAGAGTAAGCAGATCCTGGTCCAAATGTCACACCCGCCGTATTACTCATGTAAGTTCAAATCCGGTGATAGTAATCACGGAAATCATGATACGAAATGCAGGCAATTTGATATCGTATTAACCGGAAGATAAACACTCCACAAGCAGACGCTCCTGGAATGTTGCTACATAGAAATTTTCACAAGTTTGAAGCTGAAATCATTTCTTTTGTAGTAAAGTTTTGTTCTCAACCGACCTCATTGTAAATTTCTAGATGTGGGTCAAGATAGGTATCTGTCGTATCCTTTATTTCAAGGGATTGGTATGTTTAACATACAATGACATATAGCATCGTTGACCCACTAGTCTAAGTAGTCACTGTATCACTAGCCTGTCAACACTGAGGTTGTGAGTTTGAATCTCGCAGGTAGCTCGACTGCAATCTTAATTGATTAGGATTGTTAGGTTTCCTACCGAAGGTCGTTGGTTCTATCCGGGCGATCTGGGTTCCTCCACCAAAAAACTGACCGCCACAAAATAGCACAATAGTGCTGAAATTGGCGTTAAACTCCATTCAATCAATCAATCATACAATGACATATGCACCAAACTGTGAATTTTGAAGTGAGAGGACATCTTCTATATAGCGGAAAGTGAAGATAAAGGATAATGCTAGCTTCTTTTTATTATTCTAATGAAACTTCGGTATATAGTCAGTCGCATATGAATACTTAGTAAAGCAACTAGTCGACAAGAAAATGAGCACAGTTGGTTTCCAAGTGAATGCCAATTGTTTTTTTTTTTAAAAACACGTCCTCCAAACGTAACATATATTTTGTCAATCAAGATATCAAGAATGTACATAATGTAAGTTTCAGAGAATTTGTTGTTTGAATCGGTGAATTATTTACAAAGTACGATTCATCCCTCCCTGAGACAAGATACTTGATTCGACGTTGGTCATTCGTTTGTTTCAAACAAAGCAGGGCCAACTCTTTTAATTTGTCTTTTGTTTGGAATGGGGAATACTTGTGTACTCTAACAGAATTTTATAATATACATATCTGACTCACACCACCTCTAAAATAGGTAGTTTCACAATAACTTTGAATCCAGGCTTTGATTGCTGATAAAATTGATGTTGATAATTTAGAAAGTTCCAGCAATATAACGTTTTATATGAAAGGACACTTTATGTAATCCAGTTATCCAATATTGTGAGGGAGAAATTTAATTTTAACACTTGAAACTTTACCTTCCTTGTCAGCAGCAACCCTTCATCAATAAAATCTCGATAAGAATTGCAAGCTCTGGAAAAAAGTATAACAAAAATACCGAATTCCAAGGTAAATTCTAAAAGGAGAATCCATAAAAACTGACAAAATTTAATGTAATCAACCTATGGAACGAGTGAAAACAACTGTCATATTTGACTTGGACCAGCGAATCAACTGTGAGATATGAACTACATACGCAGGCCTGCTGGAATTTTGCGATTTTGTTTTATTTAGTTCTGAGCATGTTCAAATTTTGACATTTTTGCCAGCAATGTGTATATAAGAGAACACATAAAGAATACTACATGATGGCATACACGATTGAAGAAATATAAATTAGAATGACAAATGACCTGAGGAGTTAACATGAACATACTGAAATTTTTTTACAGGCTATGAATGGGTAAATGAATTCATTGAAGGTGACTATGTCAGCTATCAAGATACACGCGGTTGGGGAAATTTGATCCATGTGTTTGAGAAGACATTGTCTGAACAAATAAGACCACAAGAAATTTTACCATTACTAAGAGCTCAATCTATAATAAGTGAAAAAGACGCTGAAGAGGTTTATCAGATGTATGGAAATCATGGTGAAAAGGAAGCCGTTTTCCAACTTCTGACACATCTTCCTAATCGAAAACCCAATACCTGGTTCCCTGAATTCATGGAAATACTTTATGAAAGTGGTTATGTGCATATTGTTGAACAAGTCGATCCAGATATGTATGAAAGTAAGGAAATATTTTCTAAAATATTCAGAAATTTTTTGTAGAAGATTGGTAAAAACACTGAACACGCATTCCTTTTCCTGGAATATTCTGTGAAAAGACGGTATATAATGTGTAAGATTATTAAGATTTAAATTATTTCAGATTATTATGGTCGTAAATTATATTTCTTTTCAACTACTGAGTCTTATAGCTTCCCCCCACGATACCTTTTTTTTATCAACACAGTACAATAGTAACAAAAAATATTTTGCTGGACAATGTACTGATCGGTTCCAGGTCCATTGTGAAACAATACAAACGTTTGCTATTTGTGTATCTAACTTTTCTGCTTTTGGCGTTCATAGATTAGTAAGTATTATATAATTACCTTTTTTTTAAATTGAAATGCAGTTCATTTATTATTGAACCAATACTTTTACCCTTTGATTTGGAAAATGTTTAACTAATTGACAGTTATTACATCCATTTCTATTTAAGATGTTTCCCTGTTCTGGGTCGCTATTCTACTAATTTCTACAATGAGTTTATATTCATGAAAATAGTCGTTTTATTTTTGATAAAAGCAAACAAATATTTTGTTTTTTGTTAATATGTTTCCTTCTATTTTGTATACACAGTTCTTCTGTTTTCAAAAAAGTATTAAAATATATATCTTTTGTAGAGCTACAAGCTCGTAGTTTTGTCAAATATGACAAACTGGATGATGATGAGACAGTAAATTATAGTGAAGGAGACCGGAATTACAAGGAGTATGACAGAAAAGAAAACTGCATGTCTGGTAAAATTTTACTCAGTGTTCGGCATTTTGGAATGTATGATGTAACTTGAACATTATGTGAAAGGTCTTCCAAAGACTACAAGTGACAAGTGTATTACCTTCAGATACATTTTCTGTTGGTATATTTTACTTTTATAGCAAACAATACCACATTGCCTTCGCCAGGAAAGCTGAGAGCCACAATCAAAAATGGCAGGAAACTGAAAATGTATTATAAAATATTTGGGAACCAAGTAACTAATAGCATGGCGGTTGATATAATGACATATTTACGTATAAAACCAGTTTATTTTTATTTCAATTGAAATTCTTGAAAAATTAAGTAAAATTTATAAATGAGGTAGCACTTTTGGAAATGACAAAATGTATGTATTATGTAAATAAACAGAATACATAAAAGGTCTGTTTTATGCTGATTGACACGTTTTTAAATAGGCTTCATATCTCGGTGATACTTAAATAGTTACATTCAGTCCTTTGTTTAATTTACAGAACAACCTCAAGCATCAAGTTACAATTTGACTTCCTCAAGGACAGTGGGTGTAGTTAGACCTCAGCCTGTGACTAATTTCAATTTGGATCACGATGATATTAAAATAACAAAAGAAAAGCATTTTGCAAACCAAAAAGTTGATGAAAGTTACAACAAGTTATCAGAAGAAGACTTGAAATCGCAAACAGATACTGGACATTTAGAGGTCGACTCACTTTTTGTTGAAAATGTAAAGAGAAATATAGCAATGAAAGTTTGGCCTGAAGTAATTAGCAACAAATTGGGATCTCGTAAGTTTACACAAGTTTTTGTACATATTTGTCGTTAAAAAATATTTGCTTTTTGCTATTTTTGTCATGTCATGCTATCGTTGAATTGATCGGCACTATAGTAATAATACCTGCCACGGACATCCAAAACGGCATCTATCCTTTTGATTCAAATTGATTTAACAGACCTAAGGAAAGAGTTTTTTTCAAAATTCAGCCAATCATCAAAATCTTGATTATACAAATGGGACCCCATTTGTTGAAGTATTGGTACTCGTTTCATTAAAAACACCTTGAAGAAAACATTTTGTCAACTTTTGTTAAAATCTGTTTGATTGTTCCTATGAAGAAACCAAACATGTAAATTGTATTCGAAAAGAAACAGCAACCGACGAATGATTATGACAACAACTGACTCGACCTTCAGTCAGGAGAACAAAATCTAGTTCTTTCAGAATAAGACTATTATCTTTAAACTCAAATGTTTTACTGTTGCAGTGTTAAAAAATTCAAAGTAACATACTTCATCATTGTAGTTAAGATTTACAATTCCCATGCCATCTTGTTAGGAGGTATAATATTTTTCAGTTACAACAAAACAATAATTAGAGCGAGTTTGAAATGTCTTGTACATCTTACATGTCGGTACCAACCGTATACACAGATGTATGCTCCATCTTGGAGGTGACTGTTATGTCGCTGTGACTATATTAAGAGGCGCTGTACAGATACATATCCAACAGTTATACAAATCTGAAGATTATTTATGTCCTTCATAGAAAGGTGTGGCAATCACATTACAGAGATGGTTGAAATTTGAGCATTGCTACAGCAAGTTGAACGAATTGCTTTAGCAATGTCTTACTCGTTTGGTTTTTTTTAAATAGGCGGTAGTAATGCAACAGTAGAGCATTCGTTTCGATCGATTGATATGAGTAATTCCTGGATTCCTCATGGCAAAATTAAAGTTGAAACAACTAGAAAGGGAATTTCTTTAGATAAAACTAAATAGAACTATGTGAAGGCAGTACGTTTGTAACCCGGATTTGTTTTTTTCTCAATCGATTTATGCATTTCGAATAGCGGTATACTACTGATGCCTTTATTTAAATAAACTATAAAAAACAGATATAACTAACTTGATCCATTACTTCATATAATATTTACTGATGAATTATACAGCGATAAAAAAGAAGCATTGAAAAAAAATTAATCTGTTAAATCAAATATAAAGATGGAAGTAAAATTTGCATATCTAGTTATCTAACAAATAAATGGAAACATAAAATATAATTTGGCACAATGCATCAAGTATTGGGGTAAAGTTATATACATCCGGAACAATATCGGTGATATTGCCTCAGCGGCGTTGACTAGAGGAGCCATCGGTATGTACTCCGTCGGTCCGAATATGTTTCCGCTCTTTTTTCTGTAATATTTAAACCAATTGATTAGCTAATTGGTTTACAATAGTCATAATAAGTCATAACTTTGAGTTCCATTTTGCACGAACGATTTCTGTTGATAATGTGGCACAAATTGCTTAAAATCATGTTTCCGCGAAAGAAATGTCAATATCAATTGATTATATATGATGTATAAACAACATAGTCATATTATGAGAAGATACAGAATGCGATTGAGTTTCGTGCTTTCCGCGTAGGAAAAAACACCAGTATACTATTTGAACTAAAACAATCACCAGAACAAGTCAAAATTTAAGATGATGTATTGATGGTTTAAGAGGATGTATCTGAGAAGGAATAGGATATGGGTTATTCTCAGTGGAATGATGCAGCTGTAGCCATGTAACAATCTTTATTTTTTTGTTTATAGGCCAATGTATTGTTAGTTTTGATAAAGCACTTTGATTGCAATGCCTTTGATATGTTTTATTTCAACCAATAGCTGGAAATTACGATCAGGATTCCGACACGGATGATGAGATAGTAAAGGAAGAATTACGCCTTAGAGGTTATCAAATGGAATTGGCGAAACCTGCATTAGACCACACGAACTGCATAATTGTGGCTCCAGCTGGAAGTGGGAAGACATATGTAGCACTCAAAATCATACAGGTGATATGAACATAATTCAGTTCCAAATTTTCTTTTTCACATTAACATTTGTTAAAGGACAGGCAAAAATTGCGTATAACAAAAATGCAATAAAACGGTGTTAACATATTACTTTCATAAGTGTTCATAGTGTAATTATTGTCTCGAGTAAACTTGGTCTTCGATGATCTTTTTTTGTCTTGAATATATTATCCAAATATGAATGATGTACAAGAATCTTTCTAGAAACGTTTGAATTTTTTCAATTTACAAAATAAGCCTAATGAAATGTTATTCTTTTAGGATCATATGGAAAAGACTATTGACAGATTCCCCAAAGTTGTGTTCTTAGTAGAGCAAAGTGCCCTGGCCAAACAGCAGGCTGATAGTTGTAAAAAGTATCTATCAAAATTCCGAGTAAAACTAATCACTGGCGAAATACAGAGAGATTCAAAGATACAAAAATCATTATCTTCATGGTTAGATAAGTATGTATACTTACTCATTTAGCCTTGGAAAATACACTGGTTACTATTCCAGTTCACGGAAATAAAATATTAAGGAATAATAGGAAAATTAATGCTAAATAAATTGAATGTATCCATTATCACGAGATGAGTTGAGTGTACACGAACTTCACATCTCTAGTTAGTAGTGGGGGCTTGGTTCGTGGCTGTCATACACTGTAGTTGTAGTTTGACAATTTTCCATAATTTTTGTTTGCTAAGTAAATGAGAGATAATCGAGGGCAACAAACACTACGTTTTATATGTTAAAAAAGAAAAAGTAGTTTTCTATGTTGTGTTTTGTGTACTATTGTTTGTCTGTTTGTCTTTTTCTTTCAGCGTCATGGCGTTGTCAGTTTATTGTCGACTTAAGAGTCCCTTTGGTATCTTTCGCCTCTGTCTTTTACATCAATTGTGCACCTCCAAATTTGTTTCGGTCTGAATTATTATTGAGCTTCCCTATGTAGCATCATACATTTTTCCAATGGTTAATGTGGGTACCCGTTTTGTATCCTAAAAAAGTATAACAGTAATACTGAACTCCAAGTTAAATTCAAAAAGGAGGAAGTCCATAAAAACCGACAACATCAAAACGGAACGAGCGAAAAACAACTCATATTCTTGACTTAGTACAGGCACTTTCAGAAGAAATTGATGGTTTAAACCTGACTTCATAGCTAGCTTATCTCCAACCTGTATGACATTTGATTATAACTTCGTCATATTGATATAAGTGGGTGAGCAGCATTGACAGACATAATAGGTTAATGCGATATTAATTGGGATCCAGCAGCCAAAACTGTGTAAACAAACACCACAGACATAAAACGCAACTGCTAAAAAAAATATATAATTATATCTAAGTAAGACGCGAACAAAAAAGTTGAAAGAAAATCTGATAAAGATGTCAACAAAAAAGATTGACAAAGACGCCGTTAAAAAAGTTTTTGCAGTTGAAAGTACATACCGTACATAGTATACACTTTCCTGATAAAGCACAAATAAAGTAAAATATGAATATAATGGAGACAGATTGGAAACAAAACTGTAAAAACCTCCTGCTTCCGATTTGCACATCAGTCACGTCAAAAGTCATAGGACCAAATAGGATAAAATAAGAACGAATAAAAGGAAACTCAATGTAAATAGAAAGATTGTCAAGTTCGAGGTAAAGCTGTATATGTGGTTTCTTTAAACTGTAGATCTGAAAGCTATATAAAGAGACACAATTAGAAATGTTTTGATTATTAATGGAAAGAACGTCATCAATATATCTGTATGTGAAACAAAATTATCTAGCCGCTTTTTTCTTCTTGTCTGAAAGAACTCCGACTCCTATGAAAGAAAGAAAAAGCCAACCAGGAGAGGTGTACAGTTGGTTCCCATAGGAATGCCGACAATCTGCTGGAAAAATCTACCTCCATATTCAACAAATTTGTTGTCAATGAGAAACTTTACCGTACTGATCACTCGTTTTTCGGTGTAGCAAGTTTTATTATCAAGCCTATTTTAACAAAATATGCAAAATTATATCCCCAAAACAATATGTTTTAGCTAACAGTACCATCTTTATGGAGAAACGCATGGTGTATTATTTCTTTAAGACGAGTTTATAATTTTTCATGTGGTATTGCGGTGTAAAGGGTGCAAAAGCGAAGGTTTTGATAGAATTTATTTCAGAGAATGACCGAGAGTGCAATTTTTCCAGAAATTCTTTGAGTTCTTAAGAAGCAGCACATGGTATATGCCACTACGCGAGTAAACTGTGCCACAGTATTTCTGTAGGTATAAAACCCCTAATTCATAGCCCCATTGCTTTCTATGTTAAATTCTGCAGTTTCACGCATTAATGGCTACTTTGTCTTAAGTTCAAATAAGGTGGGAGTCATTGCATGTCAAAACTATACCTTATCCTGACTTCTACTTAAAATTTCAACATACCTTTAATTGCTTATTAGAGCGTGCTGCTTCTCGGAAGTTTGATAGTACAAAAACCGGTACTTCTGATCATAACAACAGGGCGAATGCGCCCTCCTATTATAATTTTATATTTTTTTATTATTCAAAAGAAACTTTCAAAAAGGGTTCTACAGCGATCCCAAATCCCCAAGCTTTCATTTGATACCAAAACTACCCAAAATTTCACTTGACAAACATACAGCTATGCGGAGTAACTATTTTGTTTAAAATATGTACTACATGTACTTTCTTTTATGTTCTTTCCGACCGGGCCTGAATTAGTGGTTCTATACCTGTAATGTAATGTAATTGAGATGTTCCTTTATGTAGGAAGGATATTTTAGTTGTCACAGCACAGTTGGTAGTCGATGCATTAAAGAATGATGAGATCAAAGTAGAAGACTTCACATTAATGGTTTTTGATGAATGTCACAACGCAAATGCAAGTCATCCATATGCACAGATCATGAATGAATACATGGATCTTAAACTGGATGAAAGTGTTGATAGACAGAAATTGCCCTTTGTAAGTTTCTTATAAACACATTCCTTTATACGCCATTTTCCTTACAAGTAACAAGGCTCCCTTTGTAAACCTTATATGCTTTATAATTTATCCTGCTATTACTGATAAGTGTCATCTTGTAGTAAGGGCACACATTCTCGCTTGTTTGAATAAAGGCATTTCGTCAGTGTTGTTGTAAATAATCTTATCATAGAAGCCAGTCTTAAAACATTTTAAATAAAAAAGGCCAATTTTATCTAAGGTAATCTATTCCTTTGGTAGAAAATCTTGAGATGACACCTTCAATTCCAATTGTAACCAAAAATACACTACTTTCATTTCTTTATTTTGAAATGATATCATTTATGAAATTGTGCTGACAAATAGGATTCTGTACCACAAATTCGATAATTATCGCATAACAGTTACAATAATATAAAAAAAAAACAACGACGTAAAATGCAGATACAATTTCATTTTATTAACTTGTACTGAAAAAAACCAGCCTGCTGTATGATTAAATTGTTTAATGATAATATTGTATTTTACAGGTCTAGTCTAACTTAGGTTTTATACTGTACTACCCTCAATCATACCCCCTCCCATCCACCCCAAAAAAATAATGCTAACCGATAATAGGCAAACAAATTAAGGAAAAACCGTACTTTGTTGATTGTTCACGTTCTAGATAGCATTGTACAATGCGACAATCCTGTGAAACTAATATTAAGAATTATTATATGACAATAATTATCTGTTTTCTCTTTGGCTAAAAGCATAGGAAAGCTTCTTTGATAAAACATTATATTCACCGCGGTTAAAATTACGAAAGGTTAGTTTAAGATATATAGATATTCCAAGGCGACGTCAATGGCGTAGGTTTATGATGTCATGCGAATTCCCGGTTTTTAACAGTTGCAAAAGCAGATGATATATTTAGCATTAAAACAGAGCCGGTTTCAAAAGTATCAAGCAAGTACTAGAAAATTGGAGAAGGATTAAAAAGTCATATAATAAAACAATTGCTGACTTTTGATTTCAGTTGATACAATTATTTATCAACCCCAGAGATATGACATTCAGTCTCGGCCGTTTGTCTCGGTGAATATCATATCTGAGGTTGATAAATCATTGTATCAACCTCATCAAAGTCAATAATTGTATAATAAAAATCTATTCATATGTAGGTGGTTGGGTTAACTGCATCGGTTGGCGTTGGAAGAGCTAACCTAGAAGATGAAAACAAATACATACAAAAGATGATGGCAAACTTAGATGCTGAAGAACTTTCTACAGTAAAAAAATGTTTACCAGAACTAACTGAACATGCCATTGTTGTCGAACAAGGTACGATATTTTAATGAAGTAATAAGTCAACAAAAGGCTTACAACAATTTATGTATTTGATTTCAGTAATGTTCTTGTTAAGTAAAGTATAACTTTGAAAATTCATTTGTATCACACGTGCTCAATAGTCTTTTGAAATCACAACCTTGGTATCCATTGAATATATGCAAACATCAAAAAGATTGTTCAATAGAATTCCACTGATGTAAAACATTTCTATCTGCCTATGTGATATTTACCGTTTAAGCTTAATAATTTACAATTTACATTAGGAAAATGCATATTTTTAATTTTGGTTTTAACTAATTTTAAAAGAAAGTAATTATATAACAAACAATTATTTGGCCAAACATAACGTATTGATTAAAAAAAACAGTATCTATAAGTCATTATTTTTTTCTTAGAAACAATATCTACTGTAGAAAGGAAGAAAAATTACTTTGGAGAAACACTTGTTGTAATGATGGATACCATAGAATCATATATGAGAAACTCTTCGTGTAAGTAGAGAAAAGAAAAGATATTAAAAAAAATATCAATTTACATTGAATGCAGCGAATTCCTTTGCAATGTAATAAACCTATTGGAGAACAATTGATAGCTTACTATACAATATGGATTTGCTCATTGTTGAAATTTGCACAGCTGCCTCATTTGCTAAAATACCACACCTTCGCATTTTTATAATGATCACTATTAGAAACGATTTCTTGGAATATGGAAAATGAAAGTAGTTTTTTTCAAATTTTACAACAATATGCTCAATCAAAGACACCTTTACGAAAGTATGACTGTTAGACGTTAGACATCCAAACAGGCACGTAATAATTTAATGTGGTTATCAATTCCAGATTGTAGAAGTGCAGAAAAAGGTTTTCTGATTTCTACCTTGGTATTTTCTTCCTCTTTTGACCCAAAACAAGCATCTTTTCAACTGACAGTATAGGATACATCTGGTTCATCTGAACTAAATTTGGATTCATAAAACGATTTGTTTTTACAGTTTAAACACATTGAAATCTCGTTATTTGTAAAAATGACCATATGTTGACGATGTTGAGCATCACGACTGGTGCAACAAACTGGAACTGCTAGCCCTTCCGCAGCACATGAGTTAACCCTGTTGTTTTGGTTTATTTGTTTTTAATCTTTTTGTTAAGTGCAGTGTATTATGCAATGCTGTCTTTTCGTCTATATTTTTCTTACGGTGGCATCGTGTCTAACAGTCAGTTTTTCATGGGTACTAATTGTGCATCCCTACCGACCGACCTTATTTTGTATCCAAACGAAGGAGAATACCTTTTTAACCTTTTCAAAGAAATGAAAACAAAATCATCTACCAATGTTTTTTTATATCACTTTCATTCAGATATATTGATCATGCCCTGTCACTCAATCACCCGCATGTCAGTGAGTTCTTGCATCCAACGTATCCCAGTGAACTTGAGATTAAGGATACTACCAAAACTAGGACTGCTTCATATCGTGATCTTTACCTCGATATTGACACAGATGGACGACTTCAAGTTACAATCTATGACACCGCGATGATTTCAAGTTCTCAAGTGTCAAATTTCCATGCAAAAGCAGTAGCATATCATCTGTCCCATCGTATGGCGTTTACATATCTCAATTGATACGCTACGGCTCGTACATGTTCGTACTATATGGACTTCGTTACCAGGTGTGTGCTCCTTACACAAAAACTGTTCTAACAGAAATATGAGGAAGTTTTGACTAAAGTTTCCATTACAAAATGTTCACGGTCATCATCACAAATTAAACTGGTTGACCAATACAATATTACAGTGTCTCAATTACCAAAAGTGTTCGCAGTTTTGCATCTTTAGATACCAGAAAGGTCGTCTAATATTTTATTTCTACCGATTGTGACATTTTCACTGCGTGTTGATTCGCATATCGAGTAATGCATGCAAAACAAGTGACACCTACTCTTGCAACGCTGCTTTAAGTGTTCCTTCGATTCCAGCTGATTTCGTCTGTTATTGTGATTTGTCTTTTTAATTGATTAATTGAACATTGGTAAGATACTGTTGTCCAAAATTACATTATAATTTCTTTGGAATTCCACTTTTTTCACTTTCATATTTGTATCAGTGCCTTGACTTATTGGATAGATTTGTCTCACTATTCCTTTTTTTTTCTTTAAAAAGATGCTTCGTTGTTGCCTGACAACGGGAGTATATTAAAAGGACCTACGGACAAAGGATCAGACACTTACACAAAGTGGATTAGTAAGTTATTGAGAGAAACGGCAAAAATCAACCGCCAAGATGCACGGCGATACTTTGAAACCTGTAGACTTTACCTAGATGTGAGTAATATTAAAATAAATCTTTAAGATTGAAAACAGATTCTAAGTATGAATACAAGGAGAAATAGATAAAATTTATAAAGTTATAAGAATGTTCAATTCTTTTCTCATATAGTTTGTACCGTTTATTTTTTATTTTATTTTCCTCAGGTGCCTCATAAATAAAAAAAGAATATTCCATCTACAATGTTCATACAGTTTTCCCGTCATTTAATGCATGAAAAGTAAATGACATAAAAAAACTTCATAAACTTCTTTGTTTTTCAAATTTGAATGACGAATAATTTCGACGGAAACCTAAAAATACAATAAAAAAAGATATATATACACGTGTACTTACATAGATATATCTAAAATAATATGCAAGCTCTTACGCGCTTTTGACCAAAACAAATGGAAAATATTCTTCACACACTTCTACCTGGGGGGCAAATGATACTAACGGCACCAAGTGATAAGATTCCTGACTTGGAACATCGTCTACCAGAAGCAATTTTGTTATATTTCACTTTCACATAAATTGAAGATGTCTTTTCACTCAATAATTCCTTCATTTCATATATTCCGGTAGAATTATATTGAAATTAAGAACACACCAGGGACAAGATGGTTTGCTTCATAATATAAGAATGTGTGTTGTTGAAAAAGACTGGGTGTAAAACATACCATCTCCTTAACCACTAGAGCATGTTCTCACAAACTGACTAACTGCCAATTCGTAAAAATTTGAAGTACGATTATCGATGGATTTTATGACCGTAGGCCATGGTATCGTTACAGAGTCTAAATTACTTAACTTCCCTGCAGACATTTGGAAATGGATATGATCTTTAATAATTAGTATGACTGTTGATGCATGTATAGTAGAAAATTCTGAACTTGTCGGTGCAATGATCTAACGCGTTTACAAGATCACGCGCTTCCGTTTGTTATTAATATGTCAGTCTGTTCATTTTGGAACAGGCATATCAACAAATTATTTGAGGCGAGTACTTAATCCCCCCTCCCCCTTTTAAAGTTCATGATTTCGATCATTCAAATTCTCATTATCAATTAAGCAAAAGGCCAATTCATAGAAATGTCCTTACTTTGAATTTCAGTTGTGAACATTCTACTTTGTTGGTTTTTTTTTTAAAGCTAGTACGTATTTTCAGCTTTATAACAAAGTCTTGACTATATATGAAGATGCACGTGTGGAAGATGCAATTCTATACCTTGAGCAGTATCTTAAACGAATAAATGAAGAACTGAAACCAGATGCTACTGATGACAAAATGCTGAAAATATACCAAGGTAAGAAATTAAGGTTCTGATACCAATAAGTGTAGTATTAGCATAATCAAAACTTGATTAAATTATGTATGTGATGTCATCTTCTCTTCATGTGGATGCATTTCATTTTCATTTTCATTTTCATTGATTTCAAATTTACCAGTGACATTACCTATTAACTACAAAGATTTTACCAGTGATATTACCTTGTAACTACAAAGATTATGTTTTGTTATTTATACTGAATATTTGATATCTTTATAAGAAGTTTTATTTCTATCATAAAGATATATGTTTCGTATGTCAGAATAATTTAGCATGTTTATTTTTAATAAATTAACATTATAGTGCATACTATAAATATAGGAAATGATATGAATAATATATTGTTGGATAAAATAGCATAATATTTCGTCAAGGGTTATACGCACTTTTTCTGAAGCAGAAGGTATAGTGATGGGGGAGTCTGTCGTCTGTCTGTTCGTAATTTCGTCTCCTTTTTTATCCGATATATTGTTTTTTGTACTGGAACAAGATTGCTACTATAACAATTGAAACTTTTGCATCATCCTGACCATTAAATGTCATTGTCCACTTATTTTGTTAGCACCTGAGATCACCCTCGGTTTTTGGTTTGAATCGTGTTGCTTTGTCTTTAGTTTTGTATGTTGTGTTTTTATGCTCTTGTTTGTTTTTTTTGTCTTATTTCTTTTCATTTTGTCATGTCGTTGTCATTTTTTTTCCGACATATGAGTTTGAATGTCCCTTTGGTATCTTTCGACTCTACTTAATATATGATTTCTACTTGCAAATCAAAGACTCAACCATTTTTTTTGGGACTGGGGTATCAATTTAAGTGCTTTGCTTTAAGTATCTCTACATAACATTTGTATTAATTTTCCTTTAACAGAAGGAAATCGAATATTGGCAGCCTGTGTTGGAAATGTTTATCACATTAACCCAAAACTGATAGCATTACGAGATATAATATTCAAGCTTTACAAAGAAAAGCCGGATTCTAGGATGATCATTTTCATCAAAACCAGAGAAGTAGTCCAAGCAATTGAAAACTGGATGAAAGATACAGATGGTTTAAGTTATTTAAATCCTGTTAAATTTGTTTGTACTCATGCTACTGGAGAGAAAGGAGGTGAGTAGAGTGTGAATGCAGTTATGAAAGCTAACAAAATGAATTTTAAATTGCTGACATTAACAGGGCACACTTTGTTTTAACTTCAAATATCAATTAATTATAATCCTGGTATCTTTCATGAGTTTTTGTAGTATGATAAAACATTAATAGATCTCTAATAACAATTTACGTTGAAACATGAATGAAATTGCTACTATAAAAAATGTGTAAATTACACAGTGTCTGTAAATAAATTAGTATTCAAGAACAAATGACGACCATAAAATTTTCGAAATAAGTGATTCTGCTGTATTTTTGTTTATATCGTTCCTTTGGTTGATAAAGTCTAACGTTTGATTTTGTCAGTTATTATGGACTATTTTTTTAATTATCTTGGAGTTCATTATTTTAATTGATACTTATTTATATTACGAACGCATCATATGAACCAGACACAGATTCAGAAAAACATCTAGGGGACAAAAACTTAATAATAAAACAAAAATGACCTAAACTGTACACCCTAAAATCGTCAGGTGTAAACTTTTCTGTTTGAAGTTGAACCTTACTTTTAGGTAAATACTTTTGACACTTCCAGTTTTTGTAATACAATTTTAAGCAAAGTAACAGAACTTATTAACTTAATATCTAAGCCAAAAAAAATGTTTGCCTATCGAAATCATAAAATTATGCAACTACTTCTAAAAAAAAAAAAATTTAAATTTTCATTCTAGCAAACTAGTACTTCGTGCAAAGGAAATTGATATATTTTTATTCAAGCTCAATTCAGGGTTTTTATGGAAATTACTTTCTTGCAAGCATAAGAACTACTTACATGCCAATACTATTTCGTATAATGTATAATTTTCGAAGTACCATACAAGAAAGTTGAATCATAACATATTTTATAAATTTAACATAGGTATGACCAAGATGGAACAAGATGGTATACTTAAAAAGTTCAGAACAGGAAAACATAAAATTATTCTTGCCACATCTGTAGCGGAGGAGGGACTAGATATACAGACGTGTAACTTAATAATTAGATATGACCATGCACCAAACGAAATAGCTATTATTCAAGCAAGAGGTAATTGTTTTCTAATGGGCAAATTTGTTTACTATAATATTCTGGAAAATAATTGATGTAAGGGGTCTCTAATTTTAGACATTTGAGAAGTATCCAAATGATCGCGTAATTGATCAATTGAAAAGTGTATAAACATAAGAAAATCTACAAGTATGAAACAGTAAAAATAAATCCACAATATATATCAATATGTATAGTCAGTTTCTGTTTGTTTCCTTGATCTGTGTCCTCTTTTAGAATTAAGAAATTTGACAGTAAACTACTGCAACCTTAATTTATATCTCCGATTTTTTTTGTATTGTTCTTTTACAAAAATATTTTGAACATAACGGTAAGTGTTATCAGTATCATTGGTTTTTCAAAGATTTCGTTTTATTCTAATAGGTAGGAATAGAGCTGAAGGAAGTAAAATGGTAGCAGTAGCTAGTGAAAAGAGAATTTCTGTCGAGAAAGAGGAAATCAATTTAATAAGTGAGACAAAAATGAACGACGCCATACTGAAAGTCCAGCAAAAACTGTCTCGAAATAAAGTACAGTTCTTAGAAGATGTTGAAAAGATCCAAAGATCCGAGAAAAAGAAAAGAGATCTGGAGAAATTGTCAAGAAAGATAGGAACAAAACAACGAAATTCAGAATTTGTATTACGGTGTGGAAAATGTAGTCGTTATATTTGTATATCATCGGATATAAAGAAGATCCAAAATATCCATCATGCTGTTATCAATGATGATGTGAGAAACTCTATAACTACTGAAAAATCAGAAACCAAACGTATACGTATTGACGCGTACACAACCTGTGTTGTTGGTAAAGTCAAATGTAAGAATTGTGAAAAAGAACTTGGTAATGTAATCATTCATCAAGGAGCAGAATTTCCTATTCTTAAGATTGATAAATTACTTGTGGCTGACAGTGCCGGTAAAACAACTGTTTTTAAGAAATGGAAAAGCGTACCGTTTTGTCCAGATCCGATGATTAATGAGGATTTGGAGTTCAGATTACAGGGTCAACCATATGTACTAGATTAAACAGATTCCTGCTTTTAAAGTTTATTGTAGTATTTTTGGGATAATTTTATGAAAACCTTATTTTATTTTTCTATTGAATGAAGCAATGCAAGTTCTGTTGCCATTGAAGACTTATAGAATATGAGTATAATTAATTAAAGAATAGTACTTGTTTATTCATTGTAGTTGTTTATGGTTAGATATTTGTTCATTTGTTTTTCTGTACTTTACTTGACTGGCTTATGATGTTCATATTCACCCAATGTATCCAGTCAATTCATACGATCTTACTGATAATTCTATTTTTTTTTAATGTTTAATTTAAAAACTTTTAATTGAAACACATTTTTAATTTTAACATATGAGTTTCATAATTATGAATTATTCAGTTCATTGATTTTTTTTAATTTACATCCTTATGCATTTATCCTATGTATTTTACATTCACAATTTTAAATATATATAAATAATAATAATTTGAATATATTGATTAGTAATTTTTAATGGTCAATTAAATGACTTGTATGTTTTTAAGTGGTATATTTGAATTTTTTATAGAATATTAAGTTTTATAGTGTCTCATAAGTCGTTTTATGGCTGGATATTAATTGTTTGGTGTGAATATATTTATATAATGTTGCTTATATTTATGTCAATCAATATGTGACACTTTAATGAACTATTTACTTACTTACTTGCTTACTTATTTACCTACATACTACATAATGGCATTATTTGTGTTTTTAAGAAAGATTCTTTACTACATTTTATTTGTTGGAAACTTTATAATATGTTTCCTCTGGCTTTGAGTGACATTGAAGGGCTTAGAAAAATAAATTTCTTCAATGAAGCAAATACTTAATGTTATTTTTTAATACCTATGAAATTTTGTATACATGTACAAAGCTTATATGAGGAATATAATCAAAGCTAACGTGATTTTTACTAGTTTTTGCGGTATATTCAACCAATGTCAAGCCGTATTGTGTGGCTTTTTAACAAAAGAGAATCATGTCAAGGAGAGTTTTATATGTTAGTATAGACCATGTATTTAATTTTTTCTAATTTTATGCAATATGAACACTTTATTTACGTAAAATTGAATGTCTTTATATACAGCTCATTATACTGCTGTGATATAAGGACTATACGTGTGAAAAAAACACTTATACTACCAAAAATTGGAAGTATTTATATCACCATTTATTCACATTTTTTGGGATAATTGTAAGACATTTAAACTAAGCATAATTTGTAATAATTTGTCATACTTAATATTTATTCAGTAATTTCTAACATGCATTCATGAATTATTTGATAAAAAGGATCAGACTTTCAACTGTTTTAATATCACTTAAATAAAATACAAAGCTATCAATAAGTCATTTTAACTTAAGCATATGGTTTAGATATGAAATATCGGTAAAAGACACAAGCTCTATCAGGAATTAATTCGACCTCTATTTCTAACTATCATTTCAAATGTCGACTAATAGTCATTATCACATCTCCTATCAAAACAAAAACTTGATGGGCACTGCTTGGTTTTTTTTCCTTATAAGTGTTTTGTTGATAACGTTAAAGTCATATGAAACGAGTTTCTTGAAATTATAATGTTAAGGAAATTATTGAACTAATGCATGCATAAATACTAAGTCCTCCAAGTATTAATGTTTTTCTTTCAAAAGCAGCTAACACTATATATTTTCCAAGTTTTTTTTACTTTTTTTCATCACGGTTTTCCCCTCTCACTTGTGCAGATGTTGAAGTACTAACGAAAGGCCTCGAGTTTATTAAGGTCACTGCATACGAAAAAGTTACGGCAAATTAGAGTACGGGAATAATATAATTCAATGGCAATACATTTCTGGATTTTTTGAAGTGGATGTGAGCAATTTTAGGCAATCCTATGGCCTTCAACAATGAGAAAAACTCATATCGTATAGTCGGCTATAAAAGTACCCGACATGAAAAATATAAAATAATTCAACTGAGAAAAACTAAAGGCCTAATTTATATCAAAACAATATAACAAAAAAAATATGACAGACATGAACCAACGACAACCACTGAACTTCAGGCTTCTGACTTAGGACAGCCACATAAACAATGTGGCGGTGTTAACATGTTTGTTAGTGCGTAAAGTCCATTTACACGTGTTTTATAATAAAACGTATCCATTTAAGTATATGAAACATATTGATTTTGTGTATTTAAAGTATCATATGACTTTTAGTTAGCACGCAATTTAATTTCCACCAAATTCAATGGCAGTTATATTTCCGTAAATTTTAAAAAGTAGGAACGTTATAAAGCCAATGAGATCGCTTCGACAAAAACATTGATTAACATTTAGTATGTTATAAAGTTCAAAAGTTTGACCGACGCCATCACAATTTAGTTGACTGTTATGGGATATCTGTGCAACAGATGAACACGGAAATGTTTCAATTGTCAAAATCACAATCAAGTCCTCTTTCTCTCTATTGACACATCACCGAATGATACTCATTACTGAATGTTTATCTATCATAGGCAACACGACGATTACATCTGTTTACCCTTCCGGATCACCTGAAATCATCTCCAGAATTTTTGGTTGGATTCGAGTTGCACAAACTTTACGATTTCTTTGTGATGATTTGAGAACTTGTCTTTCTTCCTTTTTGCAATGGCGTTGTCAGTTTATCTGGTTTTATGCGTTTTGAATTTCCCCTTGGTATCTTTTGCATCTTTTATAGAGCAAATAACTTCATTCTACTTAAATTTGGAGCATGTGTATCCATTGACCAGAACCCCTTTTCATCGTGAATGGAATTAGTATTTTTGGAGAAATATGCATAGGAAGGTTACTATTCGTATACTTATATATTTTCAGTAAACAAACAAACAAACCAACAACAGAAAAAACGATGTGTGCAAAATGAACAACTATATTAATTATATTGCCTTATTGCTAAAAAGTAACCAATACAAGTTTGGAAAAATTTCTAAAGTCCAATGTTTGTGTAATCTTCATTTATATCAAAATACAACAGAAAAATTCCCAAAGTTCAATGTTTGTGTAATCTTCAGTTTTATCAAAATTCAATAGAAAAATTCCCAAAGACCAATGTTTGTGTAATCTACAGTTATATCAATTCCTACAATATACACTAGATAATGGTTATAATACAAAATAGACAAAAAGGACAAAACTTGTTGAGAAAAAGAACACTAACAGCAGACCGAAATAACAAATATTCAATTTACGAATTGTAACTGCAATCACTCTCAAATCGTTGAAATGAAACGATTTAGCCTCTTTGGTGTTCTTTTTTTTCACAAATAAAAAAGTCTGAAGAAACTCCGACTCATATGAAAATAAGAAAAAGTCGATAAGGAGAGGTTCCCATAGGCTACCGGCAACTTGCTGGAAAACGTTACCTCCAAATTCAACAAACATGTTTTCAGTGAGAAACTCCAGCATACTGATCACTTCTTTTGGGGTGTAGCATGTTTCATCCTCGGGTTCATTAAAAAAAAAGTATGCTGAATTGTATCCATAAACAATAAATTTGTAGTGTATGGTACCTGTTTTATATAGAAAAGCATTGCAGTTTTTTTTAGTCGGGTTTTCAATATTTCATGTGCTTTGGTGTTGTTAAGGTGGAAAAATCGAAGGTTTTGATAGAATGTATTTCAGTGAAGGACTGAAATATAAAATTTTCCAGAAGTTTTTAAGAGCTCTTAAAAAACCATATATGGTTAAAGCCACAACGCCTATAAACAGTACAACAGTATTTCTGTAATCCCTCTTTTACTGCGGACAAAAAGTTGGTCAATCTAACGGACGATTCCTTGGTAGAACGTGCAGATGAGCTGGCAATGTACCGTTGTTTATGTGTTTTATATGAACTTTATGTATGCAATACAAAGAAGGTTAGTCATCAGATATGTAACTCAATTGAATACTCAGTGAGACCATAAAGGACTTAGGATTTGTCAAGATCTCATCCTTATTTAAAATTATGCTTTTATACGTGGGATTACCCGAATATTAATTTATTCCTAATTCTTTGATAAGACACTCGTAAGAATAGGATTTACACACACAAACAATATTTTTTGAAGCTTTGTCCACTGGAACAACAACATATTTATCGTGAACAAAAGGATAGACATTTCACAGCTTCTCTGTCTACACGGACTTCGGTCTATTATCATTTTAAATTATCGTTCCAATTGATGTGTTATTGCTCTCTAAATTTAGAACCACGAGAAATCCTTCCGTAGATGTTCATGTTTGATTATGTGGTGATGGTGTTATTTTATATATTTGACTCTTTGTACAGCGTACGACCAGGGGTGTATAAGAATGTTTCATTTCATTCATTTCTTCTGTTTAGTAAACTACTAGTATACTAGATAAGTTAATGAAAAAATCATTTTAAGAAAAGGCCTTTTATGGTCTCCTGGATTATGAATACGAGGAAACAGCCTTTGCTGACAAAAAGCTGTAATGATACGAATACCCTCATATGCTAATCCAGTTATATGCGACATATAATACACATACAGAGGCAATTGGACCTACGTTTTTCACACAAGCATATATAATGTTAATTAACTTACATATGAGTCTATTGCTAGTCGTATTGCGTCTCATTATCTCTACATTCTTGCTAAAGCTCACATAATTGGTATCATTATGTGATATTGAGCATGCAGGACCTGTCTCTGACCCATTCAACCGCTGATGCGGAATCAGGATTTTAAAAGTGGAACGGCAAGGCAACGTAAGAGTGAAACTTATAAAATCTCTATGCATTTACCATATATGTAGCTCCATAAGGTGGGGGCATTCTGTCGCGCCGTAAATTCGCCTATGTACCGGGTTAAGAACGTGATGATGAAAAAAAGGAACACGTGGTCATTGTAAAAATGTTAAAGCCCCCTTTAATGTGTATGTGTGATTAGCAGTAATCATCACACAGACCTTCAAAGACACGTCCAATCTTATACTGTTAGAGATACTGCAAACAATATCTCCCTTGGATTTTCTGAAATTAATCATAAGCCTTATAGGTCTTTTGATTCAGTCTGTTATAGTTCATCCTTATATAATTACATTAGATGTATGTTTCATTATTATACGTCATTTTGATTGGCTAACAGCAATCTCGCGTCATTCTTCATTTCAATATGAATTTCATGAAGTGGGTCTCATTGGGGTCTAAGCGTGACGCGGGATTGCCGAATTTTTGTAAGCGTGACACGTGAAAGTCAAATTATTGTGCCGTGAAAACGGGAAATGAAGTCTAGCGGGATACGGGAAATCACAAAAAATGAGAATTGCTTACGTACATAGTGTAAGCGGGATACGGGAATCTGACAAAACAGTAAGCGGTATCCGGGATCAGAACCCCCCCCCCCCCCCCCCCCCCCCCCCCCAAAATGAGACCCCCATGAATTGTAACATACATGATGACACACGTTTCCACAATAAAGTGCACAGGTAAATAAAAGAAAAAATGATAGTAATCGTGTTTTCATGATCATAGCGAAAAAATGTAATTATAAGTATTGAATTCTTCTTTTGGTAATTTCATAGGGTTGTAAAAGCGTTGACCGTGCGTACATTTTTAGAATACAAAATGTACTTCGGTCAACGCTTTTACACCCCAATGAATTTACAAAAAGAAGCATTCAATTCTTAAATAGAAATCGCTAAAATTTCATTATTTCGATTCTCGTCCTAATCGTTATTTGCAATTTTTATAACAAAATATGCGGGGTTTTTTTTGTGGTGTTTATTTTGGTTTGTTTTCTTGTTGTTCAGTTTAGTTTTAATATATTGAAATTGAAACAGGTCAAACGTACGTACTGAGGAAATTTTACGCAAACAACTAAGTTACTTTCTGTTCAGTTGTGAGTTGCAATTAAAAATGCCCTTCTGCAATTAAAAATAGACCTGTAATAATTGCAATTTGTTATTGCAGGTGTTCTATTTGTAAGCGTATTGTGAATACAACAACACGTCATGTAAATTTTCTGTGCGGATTCTATTTTTAGATTTGGAAAAATCCAGGTTAATATTTGTTTTTGTTAGATAAATCTCGTCATCATTGGTAAAGGTAGAACATAGATAATGGACACACGTAAGAGTGGTGATCAAAGAAACGATTTAGAAGTTTTGGAAATATTTAATTCTCTTACATCACAGACAGTTAAGTCAGGGGAATTGATTTGTTCCAGAAGAATAAAACGTATTCTTGGAGATGGTAAGTTCTGAATATTCTATGGCAGCTAAATTATCAGAGTAATTATCATGGTTTAATGTTTATATCGTAGTTATTTGCCAAAAATTGTTATTTTTGCATTACGAAATTTATTCTGAGTACATGCATATCTGTGTACTTGGAAAAGTTTTTAACTCTGACATGCAGGACCTAGATGAAAGAAAGTGAATTGCGTTTAATTGTGTGTCAGAAAATTAAGATCTTTTTTATATTTTGCTTTTTTATCAGCGGAAGATTTTCACCTGGATAATATTTGTTAACACTGTTTATTAAATCACCTATTGTACTTCAAATATCTATTGTCCGGGTGTCATTCGGTATATCGAGAAAAATGATCGTGAAAGAATAACTAACGGAGG